GAGTGCGATTTCTAACGTCAAGATAAAAACATTTCTGCAGGTAATTTCGCTTAGATTAACTAATATTTGTTTAATTAATTCATTATTCAACCTAATAATATTCAATTTATCTAAATCACACTACGGTTGTATATGTGAAAGTTTGTATTTAATTGAGTGTATGTATGTGTGTTTGTTACTCCTTTACGCTAAAACGGCTGGATGGATTTGGATGAAATCTAGTATAAAGATAGAATACCTCGTCTAACATAGGTTACTGTTAGGAATTAAATTTGCTAAAAGATAGCGTTGGCCATCTGTCAATAGACGAACACATGCAACATATTATACATATATAAAGTCAAGTGCGTATGTACTAATCATTTTTTTTTAATTTGCATGGCGGCCATTTTAAGATTCGCCATCTTGGTTTTTTATTATTTGTTGTTATAGCAATAGAAATACTCTGTGAAAATTTCAACTCTCTACCAATTAGGGTTAATAAAATACAGCCCGCTGACAGACAGACGGATAGCGGAGGCTAATTAATAGGGTTTCGTTGGCATACTTCGGGTACGGGACCCTAAGAAAAATTACAGTATAGTACAGTACAAGAAGTATATAAAAAGAAGATTAACTAAACAAAGTTAACTTCTCCATTTTACACTTTTTAAAATGACAGTGGCCAACCAAAACATGTAATAGTAGGATATACCGATCTATGTGTGGACCCCTCACTCTTGTTATAGGCGAAATATATTTTTTAAGTAATAAAACATATTAACAAACACGACCCAGGGGGGTTGTCTTGTTATTATGGTTTATGGTTTAAAAATATATTTCGCCTTGAAAAAGAGTGAGGGGTCTACCACATAGATTGGCATCTTAGACTATAGCTTATTATTGAAAGGATTTGTTTCATAGGACAAAATGACATGTCAATTTTATTTCTAACATTACGTAACATACACATCACTAGACCAACTTTCACGAGATTCGTCCAATAGTTATATCACTAAGATTAATTTCTATATCTCTACTCTTGTAATTGAGACACAAAATTATAAATACAACCTTCAAATTTCCCATAACTCTATTACATGCAAATAAAGCACCATTTGCTTTAAGTAAGTATTATTTTAACTGCAAAAATATGTTTGTTCTTTTAACAATAACTTAATACGTCAGAATAAATATGGTACTGTGTCTATAGATATGGCATATTGTAATACTTAGTGAAGGTAAAAAAATTGGATAAATTATTGAAATAGCCTGATTTTGTAAGGACGTTTCTCTTTTGTTATATAACAGCTGGTTTACTTCGTATTGCAGCTTTTCATATGGAATGAATCAACATAGCTAATACGTGTAGTGGATGCTAATGAATGCATTTCCATATCGTTAGTTTTTTCCTATAGAAGACAATTCCAATTTCCAAGACTGTATTTGCTATCTATACATATCAGTTTGTTTATGTATCTGTCTTTATAATTAAGTTTTCTTAAATATATAGCAAATTTTTTTTAATTAGTAAAATTTTTGTAAATATCGTATGAATTTAACGATTTTAATGACATATTCAGCTAAGGAATATCGTGTAGTCTATACATGGTTTTTGCTCATTGAATGTGCTTGTATTTACAAATTATGTTCATAGAACATTTAAAAGCCATATCAATTGTTTTGAGTTTTTTTCTCTCAGGCATTTAATGTCGCATCACACAACTGTGTTTTATATAAAAACATGGTAGGTTTTTAATTTAAACTTATCCATAGGATGAACTATTAGGTTTATACGTCCCATAATAACAAAAGTGCCCCATGTACTCTAAATTTTTAGAAATACAACACCTAAATAAAACCGCACATGGTGCCTAGAAACAAAATTTGTATATACGATTATCTTCATAATCTATACATATAATAAAATTGTAACTAAGCCACATATGTACATTAATAATTTTTTGAAAAATCTTAATGAAATAGACATTATTATCGATACAGAGGCCGAATCTATAGTTTTTAGAATTTTTGTCTGTTTGTCTGTTACCGCATCACGGAAAACCACTGGAGGGATTTTGACGAAATTTGGTATGATGATAGCTAGTTACTATAAGATACTTTTTACCACGGGAAAATGTATCATTTCTAAGAAAAAATAGAAGAACTGCAATGTAAGAGTATACTAATATGTAAAACCTAACAATTTGGTATTTGGTCATCTAAACGCGGGCGGAGCCGCGAGCAATGCTAGTCTATCTATAAGCCTTTAGTTTTCGTTTAGCAGCGAGTGAAAACTGAGGGCACATTTAATGTTCAATATACTTAAGAATCTGTTTTAGAGCAGGAAGTTTATGTGAATTAAATGTAACGAGAAGCAATTTTCTTTGTTTAGTAAAATATTTATATGATTCACTTGTTCAAAATAGAGTGCTTGAGAAGCGTCGGTCGACGAACTGAGGGATCGTGACAAACAGACGTAAATTTAGATATTTTTCGACAAAACGACCGACACGCAAGGCTATTCCGCTAAAACTGCCTGGATATACTACTAACAATGTAAATTATTTACATTGATTTAAAATTGTCCCTTATGAATACGTAAATTTTATAACATAGATAAAAAAACAACTGTTGTTGTTGGTAATTGTATATTAAAGAAGCTGTTGCCCGCTATATATTACGCCTTATTTATATTACTATATTCTTCCGCTCCTGAGGACCGTAGTATAATGTAAAAAAGCTATAATAAATTCTTTAACAAATATGATTTGTTCATTATAACGTTCTTGAAAAAATAAGAAGCTAAAGCAATTATTCAAAAGTTAATAATAACGTATTTGAAGACTCCTTAGACGTTATCGTATTTGAGTCATATGAGAATAATATCATTTGACTCATATATTACTTGTAAGTAATTTAATTAATGTAATTATATGGTTATATCTTTATACCCCTAGGTCAGTAACCTACAGTAAAGAATATTGAACATTTTCTAGAAAAATAAATAAAAGATATTGCTGATATAAAATTAGTCTAGTATGAAATTCTTAAAATAGTGTATTATTAGCGATTCACCCTCGCTCCGCTCGGGTTCGTCCCTGCTTATGTTTTAAGGTTCAGTATAGATTTCTCAGAGATGAGATATTTTCCTGCAGTAAAAAGTATCCTATATGTTGACCCGGATAACCAGCTATCATCATACCAAATTTCATCAAAATCTCTCCAGTGATTTTTCCGTGATGCGGTAACAGACAAACAGACATACAAACATTTTAAAAATATATATTCAGCCTCTGTATCGATAATAATGTCTATTTCAATAATATTTTCCAAAAAAAATTTAATGTACAGATTCGGCTTAGTTACAATTTTATTATATGTATAGTAATTGGCTGAAATCGCCTGCCGTACATATTTTACTATGTAAAAGAAAAGATATATCATTTTATTGTTTAAACTTCCTCACATTTATCTTCTACGCAAGCCTTCCAGCATTGTTCAGTTGGTCTCAATCATTGTCAACTTAGCATATTGTACCGTTTTTCCTCATTAGATGTAGTTCTAGTTGGTAGCTATTAGTCATTTGTTTGTACCGTTTGTTTGACTGGAAATTATTCGTCACACACGACTCGCAAAACTCGAGTAAATTATAAACAATCTCATATCAAGTTATGACCATTTTTTTAAATAATCGTAGCGACAAAAAATAATACGCATTAAAATTATTAATAATAAGTAATCTAAAATTATATATCTACTTCTGCATTTCGATAATTTATGTTTCCTATATACATTATGATGGCAGGTGCTGTTTAGATTTATTCAACAGAACAATATACGTAGAATGTAATCAGTGTCATGAAGAAAAATTAATAAAAGAAGATGAGAAAAACATAAGCGACCTGTTTCCTCACTCCATAAGAAAAATATAATTGAGTGGATATATACTAATATTATAAATACATACTAATATTGTAAATGCGAAAGTAACTCTGTTTGTTTGTTACCTTTTCACGACTAAGCCGCTGAATCGATTTAGATGAAAATTGGAGATAATTTGAGACCCTGGAAAGGGCATAATATAGGATTTTTGCTGCGGAAATCATCCCTTAAGGGTGTGAAAGGTGGGGTGGAATTTTGTATGGGATATCAATCATTTGTCAAGGAATATAAAACTCATCATACCTATGTATTATATATAGTATATATATTTCATACTAATCATCAAAACGTATTAATTACCAAGGGACGAATCCAAGCGAAGCGAAGGTGAGTCGCTAGTTCAATATAAATGAAAGAATAAGTTAAAAGAAGATAATAGTATAGTAAAATAGAAACGAATATGAAATATTAAATAATATATCACCATAGTTATGATCGAATATAAACTTGCAAAGGAAGTCGAATTTTACATAAGCAATTTGGATGCATTGGAACTTCCTTTAAAAAGCTCATTTAAATTTTCTGCGCTTACGAGTTACATAACTTTGAATTATTATTCAATATCCATTTATAAGCAGTTTTTTTTAATTATATTATGTCGTAATCAAAATATTTTAACAAAGTAAAAATATTGTGATTTTTATCGAAATCCATCTCTTTAATGCGTGCTCTACAGTAAATTTTGTCGGTGGAAGTTTATCTCCGTACGTGTTATGGCAACCAAGTCTGTAAGTGATATCTAAACAAACAGACCGCTTATAAATATTTATTATACACACGGGCAACCGCAGCTTAGTCATGGCGGTTGGTGGTACAGCATTGTAGATATAATTGATGAAGAAACATGTTGAATATTCATTTTAATGAAAATAGGAGAAAATATCATATCTCTACCGCATGGCAAAAGATACGTGTGCTAGCATTTAAGCAGTCAGACGAGTTCAAAAGACACGAGTAACGGAATAGTTGACGCAACTTGCTTTCCATTAAATTGGATCTAATTAATCATATACGACCCCAAATACAATTTGTGAATCTTAAAAGATACTTTCCAAAACTTCCGATAAAATACTTACGTAGAAAACAAAATCCGTGGTGTACACACACAAACAAAAATACACACGCTTTATATCACTTATATATAGCTGAGTGGTTTTTAAGTGAATTTGATATTAATTAAAGTTTTGATAAAGTTAGATGCGACAAAAACGTACGCCTTCAACGCGATGCCGAGTGTGACTGATGACGTGAATCAAGCATGGTAGAGTCGCCGCGCTGGTCGCCTTCTCTCCTAAATAGAAAACGCCATATAAATACCACATCCTGCTCACAATTTTAACCTTTATTCGTAATCGATTAGGGGTTATAATAGCGTTTTGTTCTACCTAGTTATACTTTTTTGACATAACTCTACATACAAATTGTGTATGCCACGGCCGTTTACACATTTCTTTTAAGCAGAGAGAAAAGGCGAAAGGATATCGCGACTTTAATGCTTGTCTACGGCGTGTGATTGTGATTGCTTCTAGACGTAAAGTGATTTACATCACTTTAGCTATGGTTTTAATTCGCTTTGTTATAATCTTATCTTATATTTATAATATACTAAATATAATCACATATAGTAAATCATACATACATAGAGTAGTTATATCTTTTTATTACTTACTAGCATTGCCCGTGGCTCCGCCCGCGTTAAGATGACCAAAAACCAAATTCTTAGGTTTTACATATTAGTATACTCTTACTTTGCAGTTTTTGTATTTTTTTTCAGAAATGAGATATTTTCCCGCGGTAAAAAGTATCCTATATGTTGACCCGGATAACCAGCCACCATACCAAATTTCATCAAAACCCCTAAAGTGGTTTTTCTGTGATGCGGTAACAGACAGACAGACAAAAATTCTAAAAATTATAGATTCGGCCTCTGTATCGATAATAATGTTTATTTCAATAAGACTTTCCAAAAAAAATATTTAATGTACAGATTCGGCTTAGTTACAATTTTATTATATGTATAGATATAGATTAAAAATCTAAGGCTTGTATTATGCCATAATGAAATTAAAATTGTAGGTGTTAAAAATGTGTGTATTTAACTCCTCTGTAAACAATAACGAGATTATTTAGAGAGAACGAGCCTTGAAATAGGTACTTAGTTTATCTTGCAGTTATATAAGTTTTTTTTTTGTATAGAAAGAACCGAAACTATGTAGGTAATTTATTATTATTAACCAAATCTATTTTGGTTTACAATAACTTTAATAATATTAAGAAAATGACTTTCTGGTAATCAATTTATTGATTACAGTACTTATAACAAAAGTATTCTTAATATTTATTTTTTATACCAAATACATTGAAAATTGTCTATACCTTCTATAATTAATTGTCTAACTCTACCACACCAAAAATTGTTAAACAAGCAAATAAGTCCACAGTGATCCTAGGAGTTTAGCTACTTTATTGATTGTACAGAATCTTTAAATAATTAAATAAATATGTTGTGACATTAGCACACAGCACCATCTAGTTCCACGGTAAGCTACGAGGCTTGTGTTATGGATACCAGGTAGTTGATACACTACACATATGTATATGACTTTAAATACATACATATTATAAATATAAACATTAAACATCCATGACTGGAGTACAAATATTCGTGCTCATCACACAAATGTAAACTCCTACCGGGACTCGAACTCGCAACCGCCGCGCTGGCACAGTAAATAGGTTCACTACAAACTGCGCCAAACGTGTCGTCGTTGCTCTAAAATTATATGAATAACAAATTCCTTTACATGATATTTTTAGAAAGTTGTGATAAAGAATAAACCATACTTCATTAAACATCGTTAACTATTCAATTATAAAGAGTTCACACCCAACTGACCTAGCCTTAAAATAGCGTGACTTCGCTAAAATTAGGCGACCCTGTTCACGCTACGTGAAAATGACGTGTTGAAACAGGGTTGATGACATGCTAAGAGCTTGTGTTACTTTTTTTAAGTAATGTATATAAGAATTATATAAAATAATATCATTAGCATCTGGCAATCCATCCGGATGTAAAGCCAAGACACACTAGGAGGCGGTCTTTAGTAAGCTTCCGCTTGCTTTTAGTACTTCTCTGATAGAAGAGTGGACCGTGGGAGCAACCCCTTTATCATAGAAGTCTGCTTCGGCAGACCTGCTGTCGGGATGTCGTGGTTGAGTGCGATCCTGTGGCTTTGACGGGGAATTATTGGTTATTGGGTAGTGTTAGCTTTCTAAGCTGGTATATTCCACATAACCACCTGTATGTATACAGGTGGTAAGCATAATATATTTATAACCCATTAAAAAAGGATAGAAATAGGGTAGTTTTTATTACTGGAGAATTTATAGAATCTATTCACAAGTTTCAGATATTTTTTACTACTTAAATATAAACCATATCTTACGTCTGTTCATCTTTAATAGTGTATGGTAGAAAACAATAAATCATATGAGCTCACAGAAGATTATTGACCATTTCTAATAATAACCGACCATTTATGACATAGTTAATCTTGCACATACTCGTAAGATGTTTATATTACTTTAATTACAAATATTTAGCAAAATTTAAAAGCCTTTTATTGGGATTTTCACTTGGGTTCTACTTGGGTTCTCTAACCACTGTAATGTACTACCAAAAGTACTCTATCAAATTATATCAAAGCCTTATTTAAATTCAATATTATAAATATCTTAATTTATAATACTGAATTTATAATATCATATTTTATGCCATCCCTGATGATAATGAGGTGTGCAATACATCGACACATGGACCACTGGGGCAAATAGTTTTCTACGTGAACGGACACCGCATATTACGCTCACTCGTCTGAAATATCAATACGGTGACTCCCCTTTATTAATTTATAAAGAGTACTATTCAATAACTATTGCCTATACATGATATTAGAAGGCTTTGATTATGGGGTTTTCATAATATAGTAGAGTTTAAGCATAAGATTTAACATCAGTTAAATCTGTGTTTATTATCAATTAAAAAAATTGCTGTAATAATTACGAGTATATACAAGGGATAGATGAGAGTTAGGTTTATACGATATTATTTTTATCGTCATATACCTATCTGTGTTTTTGGTTTTTAGTCGGAATTTTAAAATAATTATATTAAAATAATGATTTAAACAGTTAATCAATAGATACATAGTGCATACTTCATTCTTTGCCTATTAATGATCGACTCGCCCTCTCTTCCTACACAAAGTTTTAGATGTTAATATCGATTGGGATTATTTAGTACTAGACTTACCCTAGCTTTTTTTGGATGCGTCCCAAGGTATTACATATTTTTGCCGTACATTTTATTGCTTAAAGTATATGCTGATAAAGCAACTCAAGGACCAGCTCTTTATTAAAATGAAGTTATTCTGCCCTAATAGGCGAAAGATTTTTTTTTAATCGTATCAGTAATTTCTAAGATAAAGATTCATGTCGATTCGATATAGCTATAAATGATATTATGAAAGCAAGCAATGAATATTAAATCCTTATTACGATTTCATTTTTCTTGGTCACCCTAACAACGCTGAGCTTAGCTCTGGGAGGTCTTGTTGTACATACAAAATATTTTTGTATGTATGTAATTAGATTTTTCGCAATCTTATAGAATTACATACACTTTTTAAGGATTCTCTTTATTAGTTACTGTTATTATTAGTACTTTTTAAGCATGAATGAATTCTAATTCGTTCATGTTTTTAAGTTACTGTTATAATTATTAATGTAAGAATACGTCTGTTTGTGTATTGATTTATGCCTATAAATATGGTCAACTTCTGTCTTTTTATATTAGTTCCCATGGAAAAGGCAATTTAATCATACGAAAATCCTGTTTTAAAAACGAACTCATGTGAAGTATTTTGAATTTATAACAACCTGCAAAATAAGAGACATTCTTATCTTTTTAAAATGAAAACAAAATTATGGAGTCAAAATAATAAGTCAGCAATGATAACACAAGCTCCAGCAAGGTGGAGCGACGCCATACGTACACTGGCTGGCAGCGGTTGGATGCGTAGAGCTGAAGATCGAGCTCAGTGGCGTGCCATAGGAGAGGCCTTTGTCCAGCAGTGGACGGAAGCAGGCTGAATATGATGATGATGATAACACAAAATCAGAGACGCAGTGATAGTGGTTCCTGAAAGTCGCTTCCCAAAACTTAGATTATAAACATAATCGTTGTTAATATACCTACTATAAGTTACAAGCAAAACCCGCGGCTATGCCCGCGTTTAATCTACAAAAACAACTCTTTGGCTTTATGTTATACACCCTCGCTTCGTTCGGGTTCTTCGTATTTATACAATATTGTTTGGACAAAAATATTAAAATCGTGATAAAAAATGGAGGGTGGGGGTAAGAGGGTGAAAAATACTTTACGAGTTACGATTTATTCTTATACCTACCAAAAATACAAAAAAAAAAACATTTAAATCGATAGAGCCGTTTCGGAGGAGTACGACCACAAACACCGTGACACAAGATTTTTATATATTAGATTTAATCTCTGAAAAGTATATAAGAATGGTTACTCTAATTCTAATCTCTCTATGTGTGCTAGAAATAAAACTTACTAACTGAACTATATTTCTTTATCATGTTTGTACGAGTATATCTTGTTGTATGATCATAAAATTACAAACAGCCATTGTGCAAGTAGGGATTAAGATTATGTTGCGGTATATGATGGAATTAGGCTATAATTATATATGTCTGGATTAAAAAAAATTATGTAATTTAACAACGCAATTTATTTTTAAGCTTATTTTAAATGACAGATCCTTGTAATACGTCATGAATCTGGTAACTATCGTGTATTTAGATCATAAGATCTTGGGTTCGAATCCCTGGTTAGATTGCAATATTAAATGAAGTTTTCTGCCAAGAAATCCTCAACAGCAACTTGAACTAAAGAATTTCATAATTTAGCACATACCTATGCCTTGCAGAGAAGGTTTTGCTGCCAATTCTGATATCTCTCCGGTATTTTAGAATGGGGAAGAATATAGCCATTTCTCCCGCCAGATTTCTGAACAAATGATATCCATTTTCTTTGCATCTTGGTACAACACAGTGTGTCTTTTTAATTAAATTTTAGATAAGATTGAAAAAATTCAATCCACGCTATAGAGCTTTACAATATACGGAGGATCATAGTAATCGCGACATCTGGCGGGAGCAAAATGGCAAAATTCTTCCCATTGTCTCCTCACGAAACCGTAAGAGTGAGAGGAATAGAGAACGCGCAAACTTTTGAATAAAATAGATTCCGCGTAGATACTAGTCTACTAGAATACGTTATTATTATTCGTACTGACAACTAAAACTAAGAGTTATAACTTAATTTTTAGAACAATACATATTATACATTATGCTAAAAATAAACCGAAATAGGAAAATATTTAATAATTATTATCTTTTTCCTGGTAAATTGTAATTTTTACTAAAACATATTTATTGTAGGTTTATTTATTTCTCAGCTCTACGTATTTTTGTAAAATTTCAGCCAAGAATTACATTGTCTTCATTTTAAATCACAAGAAAAAAATTCAATTAATTTTTTCAAACAGATATTCTAATACATAATATTTGCAACATACAAAAAAATTATCTGCTATTTAACTATAATGACATTTATTGATAAAAGGATAAACATAGCTAAATACATTTTACGACAGCTCTACTTATATTTAAACGTGACAATACATACATAACACTCCATTCACACGACTTAAGACAAATAGGTACTACTTTATATTCATGAGAGTACATTTAAAACTTGCAGAATATACGCACTAAGCTCTACATAGAGTTCTTAATTTCTAATCTATACAGATAAATAAAATTGAAGTGTTTGTTTGTAATGTCAAAATAAAAGCTTTTTACTAAATATATATGAAATTATACTTCGTATCTCTCCCGAAGATGATTATGTTTACAAGCAGCAGTACGCCAGATTGATGCTGTCCTAATCACACTTTTAAAGATAAACATCACAAAGTAAGTTCGTTTGATTCTCAATTGTATACGGTAAATACTTTATAAGAAAAACACAATTTTTAAAATTTTTGTCCGTCTGAACTGTTTTTAACGGGACTTTCACTGACAGATAGCTAATGCTATAAGAAGTAACTTAGACTACTTTTATTTTAGAAAAAAAATTTGGGTTCCGATCAAAAAACTAAAACTAAGCTCCCGAGCAAAGCAAGGATAAGTCGCTAGTAATAACTATAGATAATAAATTCCACTATTTTTTCAACTTTCAAATACAATAATATTTATTTTATTTATTTAGTTATTGAATTATCAACAAAAATCTAGTACTATGGATCTCTTTTATTGCTCCATAAAACTTATACAAAGAGAAAAAAATATTCATCAATAAAAGATATCACTATCTGAGAAGAAAAACATTGTAACTTGCTGCCGCACTCAGAAAGGTTCATTAAATGGGTCCTAATTAGTACTTAACTAATTTTCATAAATCCGTTAATTAATGGTTCATCCCAGACATAAGGGTTCATTAGTTTAAATATCCGTAGGACGCGTAAAATAGGAATTAAGCTATACATATAATAAAATTGTAACTAAGCCGAATCTGTACATTAGATATTTTTTGGAAAATCTTATGGAAATAAACATTATTATCGATACAGAGGCGAATCTATAGTTTTTAGAATTGTTATCTGTCTGTCTGCCTGTCTGTCTATCTGTCGGTTTGTCTGTTACCGCATCACAAAAAAACCACTGGAGGGATTTTGATGAAATTCGATATGGTGATAGCTGGTTATCCGGGTCAACATATAGGATAGTTTTTACCGCGGTAAAATACCTTATTTCTGAAAAAAAAACTAAAACTGCAATGTAAGAGTATACTAATATGTAAAACCTAAGAATCTGGTTTTTGGTCATCTAAACACGGACGGAGCCGCGGGCAATGCTAGTTTCCTCATATGTTTAAAGTCCAAATTTTAAATTTCTACAATACTGAGTTACAATGTTGTTCCATTCCGATGCTGAAATGTGAAACGTCACTTAGCAAATATACAAAGATAAATCATCACTATCTCTAAGATGACTAACGTCTAACATTTAGATAAACAGTGAAAATTATTTGCTTCGGTTAACATACTGTTATCAAACGTCGACTCTTTAGGTGCATTATATCCATTTCAATAATCGTGCTAATAATAATTAATCAATAAAAAAAGTTTTAACGTAACATCACCTTCATTTATAAACTTTTGATAATCAAATTGACACGAAGATATAAGTACAATATACATACATCGAATAGGAATACTGATAAGATAAAAGTTAAAATAGAAATAACTTATTGATTAATTACAAGGATATAAGGGTTCATATTTTGTGTCCGCGAGGTCAGTTTTACAGTTGAGTTGCGCCTGCGCAGTTCTGTGTGTGAAGCGACAACATGCGGTCGCTTAGCTTGATCGCGCTCGCCATTTTACTAACAGGTGTGTTTTTAATTTATAGACTATAGTGTCAATGAAGCTAGTGATTTAACCATACCCTGACTAGTTGATCTATCTCAATTTTATGAATGGATCTAGAATTTTGTAGATCGTAGATGATCTATATAAATGTTTTGTGTTTATAAAGTCAACTCGCGAAAATATAGTTGCTATAATAAACTAAATCTATTCATTTTATTTTGTATACAAGATACGGCTTAAGATTAAGGAGTTCTGTTAATAGATGTGATTTTAGTGGTTTTCACTGTGATGATCTTTTATATTTTATCTTAGTAAATTTTCCCAAACTTTTTTCCTATCTTTCTTTGTACCGGTAAAACCAGTACGTGTCGATAATTGATGTAAACCTGCGTTGTTCTTTGCCCTTGAATGACAGAAATGAGTATCTAATGGAAAATTATGTTTTTAACATTTGCAAGCCAAATATTGTTTTTGTCGAACTTTAGATCATTTCGAAAATCATAATCCTGTTAACTTAAATATAAGAAGGACAGAATTGAATCTACTTGTTATGACACACACTACATTTAATATTATTATTATTTACAGTTTTTTAACAAAACGTCACGTAATAAACAAAACTACATATGAAGTACTTTTTCTACATATCCAAAAATAGAATACGATAAAGTCACTATAAAGATCAAGATATCACAACAGGATATGTATAAATCGCATCAAGAAAATAGATAGTAGAAAAAATAACTTTTTTATAATCATAACACTTATTAAGTGTTTTTAACCGACTTCAAAAAGGAGGAGGTTCTCAATTCGTCGGAATCTTTTTTTTTGTGTATGTTCACGATTACTCGAAGACTCCTGAACCGATTTGGATTTTTTTGTTTAAAAGGGTATACTTCCCACGTGGTTCCATTTTAATTTTATCGAAATCAGTCGAGCGGTTTTTTAAAAAATTAACATTTTTTTTTATAAATTGCTTAATCGAATATGTTATTAAAACACTTTCTTCTAAAAATTATCTGCTTATTACGTCTACACTAAAAATGGAAAAATAAAAACTTAAAAAAACCGACTTCCAGGCACTAAAATGTAAAAAATAACTATACGGGGGTTTTCATTTAGAATGCAAAGCTAATCTATACATACAATAAAATTGTAACTAAGCCGAATCTGTACATTAAATATTTTTTGGAATTATTATTTATTAATTATTATTGAAATATACATTATTTATTAATTATTAATTATTATATATTATTTATTAATTATTATTGAAATATACATTATTATAGTTTTTAGATTTTTTGTTCGCTGTCTGTCTGTTTGTCTGTTACCGCATCACAGAAAAAGCTCTGGAGGCATTTTGATGAAATTTGGTATGGTGATAGCTGGCTATCCGGGTCAACATATAGGATACCTTTTACCGCGGGAAAATGTCTCATTTCTGAGAAAAAATAGAAAAACTGCGTTGTAAGAGTATACATTAGTATACTCTACAAAAATTTGGTTTTTGGTCATGTGAACGCGGGCGGAGCCGCGGGCAATGCTAGTCTAATATATGTATTTTGATACATAAAATACATCACAAATTGATGTATATTTTAACTATAATTAGAGTTCATACCTAATCATATTTACCTAAAATACATAATACCTCGTCTTACCGCCTCTACTGATGACAAGAGAGCTGGCTCGCTTTTCGTCCAAAGAATCGGCATTGCCATTCAGCGGGGGAATGCAGTTAGCATTCTTGCCACTACTCCACGAGTCCACGCGGACATGACTTGTACAATAATAATTAAGTGTACATTTATTTGTTTTGTTTATAATTAAGAGTATTTGTAATTTTCTTGCAGTAGCCTTTATGTTACTCCAGGTCATAGTCCAACCGTTTTAGAAGAAAAAAGTAACAATAATACCCACACACAAACAGACTTTTGCATTTATAGACCATAACTGTCAAAATTTAAGTAATAACAATAATTTAAGTAATAGAAATAAAAAAATGGCAATAAATAGAGATTATAAATGAGCAGTCGTTGTAATTTTCTTTACTGGTCATATTTACGTTATCATATTATATTACAATTTATGAGTTGTTTTGCGGAAGAATTTTTTGTGCTATCCATTTTTTTATTATTCAAGAACGATAATGCAACCGTATAATGCGTCATGAATTATCTTACAGTATTTAATGGACACATTTTTGCTTTTCAAAGTTGTAAATATACCAGCTTTGTTTATCAATAGGATACAAACTAATGCATTATGAAATGCGAATTCCATAAGAATACCATGGAATAATTATTATTTATTACTGACCGCTATTGCAACATAGCGACCATATTTTTATAATTACACGTTATATACTTCGATAATTAAATATTAATTTAACGATTTGTACACGATTCTATGAGCTTAGATTGTTGGTAAATAAATGCATAATATCGTATATAAAATATGTCAATATACTCAATATTACCTAGGACCTTGTCTTCTGCCTTTTTCTTACATTTTGTTTGATGTAGATGGAAGTTACTAACAATTTGTTTATATTTATTATTTACGTCCCGAATGAACGAATGACGTGTCGCCAATACAAATTTTAAATTATATAATAATAATTAGCAACTTATAATATATTTTTCAACCGACTTCAAAAAGGAGGAGGTTCTCAATTCGACAATTGTCATATTGACTTGAAACTTTGCAAGTGTTTCTATTTCCGTTGATATTACAGTGGTTCGGTATTGTTGACCTGATTTGATGGTAAGGCCAGAAGGTGGATAGGTGGAACTCTTCAACGACTAATAGTAGATACTTTCGAGATTGGGCTTCTTTTGTTTGGTTTGACAAGCCTAACTTTGTATGGGCTGGCACCGATTTCTAAAATATTTGATTAGGTATGTATTTAATAGGTAGGCTTTAATTACTTAGCCAAAGCACACCGACTTCGAAAATATTTGATTAGGTATGTATAGTAAATGAAAATTACCAATCAGTAATTTTTTACTTTTTAGTGCTTTTGTTTGAAGTCGGTTTTTATTTTTTTGTTAATTAAATAACTTCTTTTAATTTTAAATGATCTTAAGTAAAATAATTTATAAATCGCAGCTGCAATATCTAATTTAATTTAACAATGATATAAAGAAACAAGAATTAAGTCAACATTATTAAATCGAAATAATAATATTAAATTTCGATTTTATAATTTACTTATTATATTAAGAATTAAATAAAATTAAAAGTGCGTGTGTGTTGAATTCACACATGGTAGAAGTGAAACTTCAGAAAATAGCCTACGAGAGAATAAGATGAATATAGAGAGAGTATCAGGGGTAGGATAGTTATGAAGTTTATTTTTTATAACATTTTTACCAAGTTTAAAAGTTATTTTACATTTTATTTGACATAAATATACATTACATATTATTCAGTAATTAATTTTATTATTGTTCACTTCCTGTGTAATATAAAATACATTACACAAGAAGTGAAAAATATATCTCAAATAATTAAACAAGGAATATTAGGCATATAACAATAATTTATTATTGAATATCATATACGGAAAGAATATAATGTTATATATTTGTCAGACAAAAATAACGGTTACCATGGCAAAATGGCAATGTATTTATCTCATTTTCTCACCTGCTTAATCCTATATATTTGTGTGTTTGTCTCTTTTTAGTGTTGCATTTTCGTTACATCGAGTTTCAAATCACAACGATTCTAAAGAAGTTTCATTTCAAAAAATCGCCAATATTGCATGTTATCATTTCTTAGGAGGAGAAAATTATTTCAGGTTCTTCAAATGGACAACTGGCGACCATAATAAATTTGGATACAGGAGAAAATTTAGACACTGCGATTCCAACTATGCTAAATGTCGTAAAATCTTGTTACTTGACAACTCCAAGCGGACGTGAAATCGAGTTTAAGCCTAATGACAATTCAGATGATAAATTCCAATCATTACCACCTACAGAATTTGTAAACTGTCGGGCTCGGGTGGCCAACGTGGACACTAACGATGAAGGCGTGTGGACGCTCACAGCAGAATATGATACAGGAGTTAGTCAATTACAGTCATACAATCTCACGGTAAATCCTCCACAAGGTTAGATTTCAATACAATAATTTTGTTTACTTTAGAATTATGTAATTTTAGTTATTCTTGTTATATATATAATATGTTATAAAATCACAGTGATATTGAAGGGGAACGTGGAGTTTGGCTTTACTTGTCGTCTGAAAGTTTGTGTTTTAATGAAAAATGTGGATCATATTAATGGCAACTACATGTAGCTTAAAATAATATATATACTACTTACTACATGAAAAGAAAATTTTGAAAATGGGAATGAATCAGAATTAAGAGCACACAACATTATCAAGCTATTAGTTTTACTAAATTTCTAAGCTCAAAATTAATAAATAATTTAATTGTATTATCTAATATATAAATATCTCGTGTCACGGTGTTTGTGGTACTCCTCCGAAACGGCTCGACTGATTTTAATGAGTTTTTTTATATGTTTGGTAGGTATGAGATTAGGTTGTAAAGTATTTTTCAAGCTCCATCCCCACCCCTCATTTTTTTAGTATCTAGAGGCTAACCCGAGCGGAGCGAGGGTGAGTAGCTAGTAAATAATAAAAAATTACTATACAAGTGTATTTTTAAACCATACAAATATTACAGAACTTTCCACCGAAGCTCCTACCGTACCTTCAACCGAAACTCCGTCTTCTACTGAACCTTCAACCGAAGAAACTATTATATACTTTGAAAAAATAATCTTCAATTCGAGTATCGGTGATAGCCACGATGTGTCCATTGATGGAAACATTTTTTACAACGATCCTATTTGTCAGATAATCACTCCTTCAGGACAGCAGTATGACTTAAAGGAATTAAATTCTTCATATGTCGAAGTCATTCCCCAAGATGATGAAAGCTGCTACGTTACTATAAAAGTTATATCTGAAGAAGTTGTTGGAAATTGGACATTGATTTCCGATGGCTATTTATACTCAGAGAGGGTACAAAGAAGATTACCATTTACAATTTATGTTGAAGGTATTATTTGATTACTAGTCTTATAAGCCTAATAAGCGTACGCGTATCTAGTCACGTCTGATGATAAAATCTACAAACACGATAATGGGATAAAAACGTCATTAAATATCGTTATAATATAATTAATCATTATTTATACACATGCTTTATTTACGTGCAAGGAAATTTTCTAATCTTGCAGAAGCCGTTGATGCATCAGCCAGCGAAATAACTGTCGTTGAAGGAAATAATATGTACGTACGATTGAAGAATGCTATTGAAAATTATGATACATGCAGACTTTTGGCACCTAATGGAATCGAATATAATGAATATGAAAAAGATAATCGATATTTAGAACAATGTGGTTTCATTGTAAGAAATATTCAAACAACTGATAGCGGAAATTGGTCAATTTTATATGGAAATAGAGTAATTTATAGAGCAACAATTAGTGTGACAGTAAATGGTAATAATTTTATAACGATGATTACTAACAATGAATATTTATTACTAATAATTAAAATATATATATATTTATATTACGATTTGTTTAAATTTAATTGCGGTACCTGTCGCAGCGCCACAGAAGATTTATTCAATCGCGCGTAAAGGTTACACGCACTCATTTTATTAACCTACTAACAAACCTGGCCACGTGTTACTGTAGCACACATATAAAAATCATTCATCCATCATTCAATAAAAAAAGGTATTAATTGGGACAAAAACTATTCTATTTTAAGTTGGAACAAGTCACACATTAAAAAAGAATACGTAAAGATCGTATAAATAGTTTGGGAGTTCATCGCGGACTATCATCATGACACGGGAATTTTATATATCAAGATTAATAACAAGCGCGGATCCCGGGGGGGTCATGGGGTTCATGACCCCCCCCCCCCAAGCCAAATATACTTTTTTGAGAAGTTTGAAGTCTAAGAAAAGAAGGAATAATATAATTTTTTTTAAGTACCTAATTCAAAACAAATTAAGTTTTTATTCGTTATTAAGTTTTTCTTTAATTTAAATAGCGCTATACAAAAAGTCCGATCGCGATGCGCTACACAAAAAATTAAAACCGGAAGTTTCATGTTTTTAAGACGTTTATAGCAAACAAGACAAGTATAGCAAGCCGTTTAAGAATTGTATTTTTTTTTCAATTTCTGGCTTGTTGTGACATCTTATCGAAAAATATTCTTTACAAAAGTTGTAGATCTAGTAAAAATCTACGACTTTTACAATAACCTCAAAGTTTTCGACATATTTCCAAAAAAAAAACGATCCTTAAATTTTTTTGTTCTTTTTTATTATTTTTAATGTGTGCAAAAACTTTTTGATATTCATGAAACTAGAGGAATATAATCTTCAACATACATATAATAACCAATTTTTTGAAATTGAAATGTTTAGCCGTTTCGGGGAAATTTATATTGTATGGTCTCGGGAGGCTTAAAATCACCCCCAATTTCAAGTGGATGTTTACATTTAAAAAAATTGTCGTCCAATTTTCAGATAGGGCTCATTTTTTCATCTTGCATTCTACTTTTTGAAGAAATAAAAACATTGTACGGTCGTCATGTAAAAACAGCTTTAAAAATGAAAAAAAAGCAGGAGAAATCGAAGTTTTACTTTTTCAACTAATTTTTTTATATAATCATTGAAAAAGTGTACTTACTATATTTTTTTCGATTTTTTAATTTTTTACAGTAGTCTATTAAAAAATGCAGATTTATGAATTATGCGGAAAGTCTTGAAAGATATATAACCTAATGGTTGAAGCTAAAACCTCATCTTAATCTCCTCTCTCCTTTCTCTAGCCTTTAGATATTTGTCAATTAGGACAATTGGGGGTAGTTGGACAGCGGGGGCGTTTTACCGATTTTTATTCCTTATATACCTGCTAAAGTTTTAAAGCCATAAAACTTAAGATCTTGATTGTTTTTGAGTCATTGTTTTTTAAAATATTTCATATACAGATTTTGCTAAGTTACTATTTTCTTATGTACATTTCAGGTTCTGACAATACCACACCCACCCCCACCCCACACCCACCGCCGTCCCCAACCCGCCCCACCCCGCCCAATTTAAATCTACATCTACGCCTGGTCTCAATTGTTATAAAAAATATTTAATGTACAGATTTTGCTAAGTTACTGTTTTATTATATGTATATTTTAGCCTATGACCCCCCCCCCCAAAATTTAACTCTGGATCCGCGCCTGATTAACAATATATAACACTATGTTATTATTAATTAATTTGCTGATATTAATTACTACAACAGAGGTAAAGTTAATTTATTTTGCTTACAGCTGCGACGCCTGGAGGGACATCGAATCTTGTATGGACTAGAGATAGACCAGTTACAGAATTTTTTGGTGCAGAAAATGCTGTTTACTGTAAGGTAGTAGGACCAGACGGACTCGTCTATTATGATGGATTTGGCATGTGTCAAATATTAATAGAACGAGTTTCGCTAGACCATGAAGGTATTTGGACTTTGAGTGTTGGATTACCAGGGCGAGTTCTAACTGAGAATTCGCAATTTATTGTCAGAGTGGTTGAAGCTGGTAAGTTAGTAGCAGTTATTAATACTTTAGTATTCAAATCTTTCGAGAACTTGCTTGATTCTCATAGACATTCAGGTTTCCTCACGATGTTTTTCTTCACCGTAAGATAAGTGGCAATCATGTTGAATATGATTTGCACATGAAAATATTAGAGGTGCAAGACCCGGGATTTGAATCCGCTTCACTCGATTTTGCAAGCGAACGCGTCACCACTGGACTACCAGTGTCTTATTAATCTATACAGATAAATATTGAAGTGTCTGTTTGTAGTTTGTACTATCAAAATAACTACTTTTTTACGAAATGCATATGAAATAATGCGGTACTTATCAGAAGAAAACAATTTTTATTTTTTTTATCTGTGTGTCTATTTGTTTTGGTTAATCTCCGAAACGGCTAGACTGATTGACGGGACTTTCACTGGCAGATAGCTAATGTTATAAGGAGTATATTAGGCTAATTTAATTTTAGAAAAAGACCTAAGGTTCCGCTGAAAAAAATTAAAACGTACCTAAGGACGCACCCGAGCGAAGCGAGGATAAATTGCTACTGAAACATCAGATAAAATATTTTGAATGTAGATTACTTATATACAATTTTGCTAATTGGATTATTTTAATTTTTAATATTCCAGAATTGAAGCCAGCTGTAGTAACGCAGGTTACGGCAAATAAGCCAACGGTTTCATTGACTTGCTCTGTATCAAGCCCACACCCTATAAATTCATGCAAGTTCCGTCATCCATCTGGACGCATACTAATGGCTAATGAGGGAGTTGGGGAAGACCGGTTTTCCTACCATGGCGCTGCTGTAAGGTAAATTTTGCTCATCTATGTATTTGATTTATATTTTATCGTTATATAATTTTGTACTATGTATGTGTTACATAATTACATAATCGACATAATTGACGCAACGTTTGGCTCAGTTTGTAGTGGCCCTACTTGCTGAGCCAGAGGTCGCGTGTTCGAGTCCCGCTGGGGGTATTCATTTGTGTGATGAGCACGAATGTTTAATATATAATATGTATGTATTTAAAGTTATGTATGTGTAGTGTATCAACTATCTGGTATCCATAACACAAATCTCGTGGCTTACCATGGAACTAGATGGTGCTGTGTGTTAATGTCCAAACATATTATTATTTTTTATATGGTTATCGAAATATTTTGTTATTTAGGCAAATAACTCTACTTATAATAGATAATTTACCATAAAATACAATATTGATCTAATAGCCTCATCTATCTTGTTCTAAAAATAGCCGCTCACAACAAGAGTGACTGACTAATCCTGATAAGAAAAAAACATTCAAACGTAACACACATCACATGATGTAATTAACCTAAAGTAACCTGTCAGCACTGTTATTTATCAATAGGTTGAATATTATACGTGCCTAATCCTTACTAAGATGAGTAAGATACTTACTACAAATGTGTATAATTTGAGCATTTTTTTATGTAGCGGAATAACACCTCGACGTTCTTTGCATTGAGGTACTTTACAGATAAGATAAGTAAAGGATCACATCGCATCGCTAACTTTTTTTAATTATAAAATTGATAGATTATTGGAAGAAATATTTAGAAACGCTGCTTAGACTACAATTAAATAAGCTAACTTTTTCAAATTCCATTACAAACAGTTACAATTAATACAACTCATCGAATTTTACGGAATGGAATTTTATTTTTTAAGAATACAGCGACTCTGGTTATGCTTAGGTTTTAATGTTTAGTAAGTATCCTATATGTTTACCCGGATACCTACCAACACACCAAATTTCATAAAAATCTGTTCCCAGTGGCTTTCTCGTAATGTGTTCTCAGACAGACAGACAAACAGACAAAAATTCTAAAAACTATAGATTCGGCCTGTGTATCGATTATAATGACTATTTCAATAAGAATTTCCAAAAAATATTTAATGTACAGATTCGACTCAGAATTTTATTATAATATGTATAGATGATACAATTAAAAGTCATTAAAAATGTTATATTTGTAATGTCACGAAAGCTATAAAATGATCATATTTTTATTAAAAGTCATTCTTTCATAATACTTTAATGAATACTTTCGTAGATATACCCGAAGACATTTTAAATGAAATATCGCATTTGATTTTGTTCCCAATGTATTGAATGCTTTACATCAAACATGGTTACGGTAGAACTAAGGTTTCGTCGTTTCAAAACTTATTATATAATTATTACAAGCGGTATCGTTAAAATCGGTTAAAATTATCATGTAATTTTGTAGGTACAAAAATATATTATATTTTGTATTTTAAATAAAACTATCTTTTCGGATTATTTCGCGGATTTATTTGGATTTTTGGTTCCCGACGTTTCGAATGTTTTACAGCAATCATGGCCACGGGAGAGACTTAGGTGTTAGATGTCTCGAAGGAAGAATATTTTGGATTGAAAAAATCATTTATGTAACCGCAATAAATTCAAATAAATGAATTTCTTAAAGAATACATCGTGTTGCTAAATTAAATATATATAAACTTTTTTTTAATTTGAAATATTTTTTTAGCTACCAATCTGATGTTCACACCCATGACTGCGGTCTTTTGATTACTAACCCATTAGTAGAAGACTTAGGTATTTGGCGTTGCGCTATAGAGACTGATGGCGATACTTTCTATGGTTTTTTGAAAGTGTTATGTCCTTGGGCTTTGAGAGATCCTGAAGTGGCTGCTGCTGTTGTAACAGGTTAGTAGAGCATTTAAAATAACTAATACAGGCTTAAGGTAATATACTTCATTTATATTTCTACTTTAAATTTTGTATATTCAAATTTTCACATACTATTAATTCTGTGGTTCCAGAACCTGTTCTAACTGCGTCTAGAAATACGGTCACCAGTTTGGCTGGAGATAGTGTCTCTATGTCATGTTCGGTGCAATCGGCCATTCGTTACTGTTACTTCAGAGCGCGCAACGGCACTGTATTTAATGTTGGACCAGGTGATTTTCTTTAATTATAAATCTACTGCTAGAGTTAGTAAGTAGTTAAAATCTAGTGTATATAAAACAAATATGTTGGAAAATTAACACACAACACCATCTAGTTCGATGGTAAGCTACGAGGCTTGTGTTATGGATACTAGATAGTTGATACACTGCAAATATATAACTTTAAATATATACATATATAAATATAAACACCCATGACTGGAGTACAAACATTCGTGCTCATCATACAAATGAATTCCCCCAGCGGGACTCGCATCCGCGACCACTGGCACAGCAAGTAGGGTCACTACAAACTGAACCAAACGTGTCAAAATGTCTATGTTACTATATACCTATACTCCAGGTCATATTTGTTTACAAAACAACCTAAATCCGTTAGCCGTTACAGCATGAAGAAGAAACAAACACTGTGTATATTTGCACAAACTTAGTGCATATATATTAGTACACACAAACATTCGCCATTATAATAGTAGTCTAATTATAGTAAAACTTAACTTAGACCATGTTATGGACACCCTTCCGTTGGACAAGAGAGAGATAAAGACATTGTCCATCGCGCTGGCCAAGTACGGGTGCCAATCCGTACCTTGTCTTTTATCAATTTGATACCTATATAAAACGTAGCCGATAGCAGTCTTTGGCCGTCATTGGCCACAGTATTATATTGTGTTAGTCGAAAAAAAATTTTTTTTTATTTATAACCATATGTAGAATTTATATACCCTAACCATAATAGGAGTGACCGTTAGAATATTTTACTACAAAATGTATCGTGAAAATGTTTTTCTTAACTTTCCAGCCCACTCCCACGACCAGGCAAATTATATAGGCTCTGGTTTTGATGCTGGCGAGTGCGGTATAAGGTTCCCGACCCTCGCGGTGTCTGACACCGGAAGTTGGAGCTGTCATGTTGGTTTCTTGACGGAACCGGAACAACGTGCGCAGATTAATGTCACTATCCAAGGTAGTACTAGTTATAATTGGAAAAATAGGATAATGGAATTAAATATAAGTTAGGTTTATTACAGTTATATGTAGTTAGAGATTTACGTTTCATTGATGTAAGGTGCTATTTTCTGACCAATATTTCTTAAAACTATTTAAAAATATACTTAATTCAAACAATTATACTAGTATGTGTCTTCCAAAATCACATCATCATCGTCATACTAACTTTTGTATGATAGTCGGGATACGGCTTTGAGTTTAATAACAGTACAGTGCTTAAACTACGAAATAGTTCATCATAAATAATGGTATTTTTTGACAATCCTTGCATTTACCATGATTTCCGTTAATATCATAAGACCGAGGAATGATCATCATTATTTACTAAACATTACTTTATAAAAATGCAAAAGGAACTTTTTAAATCTCAATCTACAAATAAGTTTACTTACTTTGTTATGGTGTTTTATATTTTTATATTACTAAGTGAAACAGAGAATTGCTTCTAAGTTTAAAATCATAACTTTTTTATCGTTATTAATGTCAACAATATAATCATAAAAATTAATTTTTCTTCCCATAGTAATTTAAGTATTAATAGTAAATACATAAATTAAGATATTATATATAAATGTTTCAGATCCAATGGTAGCTGATCAGCGCGTGGAGCATGGAAACCTTATTATAGAAGCTCAAGTTTATGACAACAGATCGCTTGAATACTGTCGATTCGTTCGAATTGATGGCTCAGGTAATAATCTCGCCAGTATAATTAATACTTAGATCATGAAAGTATTTTCAAATAAAATTATCTAAGGGAGCTAGAATAGCATTATTCAGTACAAAATGTTATGTAAAAAAAAGATTCCGACGAATTGAGAACCTCCTTTTTGGAAGTCGGTTAATAACATATTTCATACGTATATGTGTAATTTGTCTCAGTCTCAGTATCTATCTAGTCTTAGTATTTTTACTATTAACACTTACATATAGGTAATTACTGCTAAGTGTTCGTAGATTCTTTAATTATAGTAAATAAAGAAACTGGGGTGGTCTTCTAGATTAAGTTTATAACTAACTTCCAAATAATTGATGGATTGATATTACTCTTAAATGCTGATTATAAATCAAACATATATGCAATTGTAGTATTGAAAATGTAAAGGTATTCAGCTCTTTTTAACCGATTTCCAAAAAGGACGAGATTCTCAATTCTTCGAAATCTTTTTTTATGTATATTTACCGATTATTCGAAGACGCCTGGACTGATTTGATTTTTTTTGTTTCGAAGGATATACTTCCCAGGTGGTCCCATTTAAATTTTATTGAAATCGGTCGAGCGGTTTTAAAAAAAATCAACAATCAATTATTTTTTTAAATAAATTGCTTAATCGAATAAAAAATTGAAAAATAAAAACTAAAAAAAAATCGACTTTCAGGCACTAAAATGTAAAAAATAACTAAACAGGCGTTTTCATTTAGAATAGATACCTAATCAGATATTTTCGAAGTCGGTGCCGCCCGCAAAGCAAATTAAAATACATCACAAATTTATGTATAATATTTTAACTATAATTAGAGTTTATACCTAATCATACCTATTAGATAAGTATTCATATCTTAAAATATTGTCGGCTGGCACACGGTCGAAGATATCTGATTATTAACATTACTGCTGGGAACGGGCCTCCCTTCAATACGAGGGGGATCAGGTTATAGTCCACCACGCTGACCAAGTAGGAAAAGTTGCTAGGTTCTCTCCAACATGCAGATTTCCTCATGATTTTTTCCTTCATCGTTAGACAAGTGGTAATCATGGTGGAAATGATTCGCACATGAAAATATAAGAGGCGCGAGACCCCGGATTTGAACTCACTTCATTCGGTTTCCTAAGGGAACACGTTACCACTGGGCTACCACTGCTTTTTACTCAATGTTTATTTAATGGATTCGATTCATCCACTATTTTAATTAAAAAATTTTTTTACGTTATATTATTTTTTAGGTTTCACATCATTAGAGAATATTCAAAATAATTATGGTGATATATCTGTGCTATCGCAAGGCAAATGTGGTTTATTCATCGAGCATCCCTCTATTTTGGATCATCATCCATGGACTGTAGTAGCAAAGATCATGGGACAGAATGAAGAAATATCCAGAGTTACTCCAATTACTTTAGCACGTCCAATCCCTGAGACCGCCTGTAAGTAATAGTCAATTGAGATTCATTACACATGCTTATTTTAAGAAACGAACTTTGTAATTATGGATGCACAGACAAAGACATGAAATGATGATGAAATCGTCCAATAACATTTAGATTATGGTTTAGTAATAACTTTTAAAATTATCTAATATGGGAAAAGTACCTTGATGTATTGAGATAATAACTGCCACCATGTGGCCCAGAATGACAATCTCTAATATCTCTGAGCAAAAAAATACTTTAATCCATTGCTACGCGAAAGAAGAAAAAAAGATCTTACAAAATATATGCTTACGCAATTTTTGATATAAAGTAAGGATTTTTTTTCGTTATACCACGTGTAGTGTAGTTGCACGGGTACAGATCCAAAGGGTTCGAGTCCCGGATCGGGTCAGGTGTTTCAGTCAAATTATTCTCATTCTCGGAGTTTGGAGGCTGACGATGTTTCATCTCTGTGCCTCGGAGAACACGTGAAGGATCGGTCCTAGGACTGATCTCGCAACGACCGTGCCAAAGTTTTGTACTGCCGGACTTTGAGTGTGAAAGTTATAGAGAGTGCTATTGTATTTACAGGAATACTAGTGCACTATAATTTGTCCTGCCTACCTGGCTAGTCTCAGTAAAATTAGCCGCCGTGACCGAAATTGATCAGAAGGAGATTTGCAAAATTAAAAATAATGTACAACGCTACTTTTTAAATGTCAAAAATATTTCTTTCGTTTTGACTAATGTTGCTATATAAAAATAACTAAATCAAAAATAATATTTTCAGTTAGCCATGTGCCTGTTATATGGGTGCTGGTAATGACGTTGGGCATAACCCTTCTGTTGCTATCAGCACTCTTGGTCAACAAAAGAAGCAGAGAATGGACGTATGCCAGGGCAAGTTCCATCAGAAACAGCTTCACGAGGAAGACAGTTGAACAACAAAACACCACTGAGAAGACTACCGCAATGGCTGCTTAAATTTTATCATTTGATATCACTTTTACAAAATATGCAAAAAGAAGCTAGTAGAAGAATTTTTTTCTATACAAAAAATTATATTATACTACTCAATTGATATATAATTAATAATAATTATTGATATATTACAAAAAATATAAAAAAGCTCAATGTCTTAAAGACAGCATTAATGCTGACATACATGGTTTTATAAAAAAAAAATATTTTAGGCAAAACATAAAAACATACTAGTGGTTGGTATATTTACACTCTTAGCTCACTTGATCTATGTCATCTTTTAAGTTATTGTTATACATTATAAGCGGCATTGTAGTTAAACAATTATAAATATTTTATGTGTATATTTTTTTATTATTTGCCTAATTAATATTTGTTATATTATGACTATATTGTTGGTTTATTGGAGTTTATGACAATTTTTAATAAAGATTATTATTTTAAATATAGACTTGCCATTTTGATTTTTCTACATGTTGTTTTTTTTTTAAATCAACACTATTTTTATAGCAGCTCGATAAAATAAAATGATTCAAATCGATCGAAAGATGCAAATCGATATGACAATTAAAAGCAAGTTAATATCGATTTAATACTATAATATTATAAATGAAAATGTTTGTAAGTAAAACGGCCCAACGAATTTTAATTTAATTTGGTATTTCCTGACTGCATTAGCATAAACATCATACATTTTGCCAAAGTACCTACCACGCAAACGGCTACGAGCAAAAGAGGCCCCAAGTATAATTAAAATTAAAATGCAGTAAAACAAACGATAGAATAATTTCTAATTCTAATTTTCTTAAAAAATCCCACGAAAATATGGCAATGTTGTAAATTTTATATATAGCTATGACTTATATTTACATACAGGAAATATCTCTGTGTGATTCGTCAGAACCCATTACTTCGATACTAATATTTTTTTGAGATAATTGAAGATAATACTGATAAACCCTCTATATACAGGTAGTGCAGTTGTGAAACTCTATATGTTAACATCAACAATGAATATTCTATGCTTTATTTTGTGGACCGTGTATTTTACCATCACTAAAGGTATGTATATTTGTTAAAAGTGAAAGAAAAATGAAATTAATTACAATTTGAAACAAATTAACGTTTAATACTAGTTTTTGTGTGAAACTATTGATTTTGACTGACACTATTAACAAGAAAATTAAATTGAATTATTTTTGACGTAACAACATTATATATATAAATTATTAACCTATATATATATATGTGTATATATATATATATATATATATATATATATATATTATATATTATATATATTTATATATATATATATATATATATATATAAAAATATATAAATTATTAACCAAACTATTATCCTTATGATTTTAATTGTTACTCATTTATTTTAGTACCATAATAAAAAAAACAATACAAAGGGAATAATGTGTACCTACAACGGATGATTTATCATTTTAATAGAAACTTTAGATTTAAAGTGGGTAATTGATCCTCGAGTGTAGGAAAATGAACTAACTTAATAAAATTCAATTTTCTTGTTAAAGACTTGAAATCTAACTTAATTAATTAAATTAAAATAAAGTATAGTGTAGGTTTTAATTATATATAATACGATACTATTGCACAACCAAATACTTTGGAATAAAATAACTTTAACACACACATATATACAGACATAACGCTCTGTACAATGTTATATACATTCTGTACATTGTTACATACATATACATTATACATTTTTAAAAATATAATTTAATAGGTATAAATATATAAGATTATGTCTGAATACTCATTTAGTTTATATCCAAGTAAAAGAGCTTTTAATTTTTTTATGTAATACATGTTTTATTAAAATGGTTATCGAAAACTTTAAAAATTTGATGATGATGATGTTCTCCTAGCCGATCCCGGCCACGGCGGCTAATCTCATTGAGACTAGCCAACTGCGCAGGAGATATTATAGTGCACAATTGTACGCGCAGACACAACGTGCACTCTCTATTCCTGTCACTCTCATGCTCTGGTGGGACGACCACTCGACACGACCAGTGAGAAATAAGGCGCAGGACCGACGGCTTTACGTGCTCTCCGAGGCACGGGGGTGAAACACCGCCAACTTCCCAACTCCGGGCTGTTACTGAGACTTACTTACTACTATACAGAAAGACTCAATAACTAAACTTGGCCCGGGACTCGAACCCAGAACCTCCGAGTGTGCAGCCGTACATGCTAGCCACTACACCACCGAGGCAGTTTAAGAATTTAAAGGTTAAAAAAAAAGTTAAAAAAATTTAAAGGTTTTGTGAATCGTACTGTTAAATTCAAATCCTAACGATATTAGACTAACGTAGGGTATGGAATGCAAAACCTTTGTGTTAACATCCCGTCATTTTATTTTGTTTGCGATGCACAATGATATTCTAGTAGAAATAGATAAAATACTTTTAAATAAATAATAAATATCGGTAATATTGTCCTAAAGTGTCACGTTTCTAAGGTATTTGAATGTAAAGATCGCCATTTTCAATCCGGTTATTCTCATTAAAAAAGTTTCACCGTGCACCACTTTATAAAAAAAATGGCGGCGTGTGACTAATGCCAGTTGACTGACTGTAACTATCCTACAATCTTACTATTTCAACATTGTGAAATAAATAGGTACAATTTAAAAAAAAATGCAATTGAAATCTGTCCTTACCTACTCGTACTATCTGCGTTGATTTTTTTTTTGTCGGGGAATTTAATCACTGATAAGATTATCTTATTAAAACGATTAATTAAATTGATTTACAAATTATATCTTTAAATAGATTTTTAAATAAATATGATTTTTTAATGATTGCTGTAAAGCATTCGAAACGTCGGGAACCAAAAATTAAAATAAATCTGCGAAATAATCCGAAAAGATAGTTTTATTTAAAATGTCAAATATTCGCGTAAATCTAAGAAAGTATTAAATACTAGCATTGCCCGCGGCTCCGCCCGCGTTCAGATGACCAAAAACCAAATTCTTAGGTTTTACATATTAGCATACTCTTACATTGTAATTGTTGTATTTTTTATCAGAAATGAGACATTTTCCCGCGGTAAAAAGTATCCTATATGTTGACCCGGATAACCAGTTATCATCATACCAAATTTCATTAAAATCCCTCCAGTAGTTTTTCCGTGATGCGGTAACAGACAGACAGACAAGAATTCTAAAAACTATAGATTCGGTCTCTGTATCGATAATAATGTCTATTTCAATAATATTTTCCAAAAAATATTTAATGTACAGATTCGGCTTAGTTACAATTTTATTATATGTATAGATGATTTTATGTTTCAGGAATAGCTACCACATCTGAAGCATCTTTAGACTGGATTAGAGACCGATCAGTACATGAAACTCTTGGAGTAGAAGATGCAGTTTACTGTAAGCTAGAAGGCCCAAATGGAGTCGTATACCACGATGGATTTGGCAGATGTCAACTTTCCATCGACAAAGTAATGCTAGAACATGCAGGTGTTTGGAAAATGAACGTGGGATTATCGGGACGTCTTCTTACTGAAGATTCCGAGTTTACTGTCAAAGTTGTTGAAGCTGGTGCGTTAAAACCAAACCAATATAATTACTACTGAAATGGAATTAGTGAACATTTGTAAAAATATTAGCTTAATCAAAATGGTCATTTTTGCCTTGCCATAATTATTTATTTTTTAGTTTCAGTTTCGAAACCGATGGTAACAACAAGCGTTGAAGAAAATAGGCCAACCATCTCTTTAACATGTTTCATACCGAATTCCGATAGTATTAGTTCATGCAAATTTCGTCATCCCTCTGGTCGTATATTTCTGGTTAATAAGGGAGTTGAAGAAGACGACAACCAAGGCAATATTAAGGGGTATTAAAATATATTTATATCTTACTTAAATAATAGGTTTTTAATTCTTTATAAATAATCGGGACAGTGACTTGTAATTCCTATTAAACATAATATTTTGAGCCGGAAATGCCGATCCTTATTTAAGTCGAATATCCATATTTAAAATTCAGATGTTTGTTAACTTAAAACGTTAAATGAAAGGGAGGATCAGCTATCAGGCACTTTAACAATGTCAGCCAAAATGGTCTCTGCATAAATTGTATAATGAGTTTTTATTGTTACTTTCATAATATTTAAGTAAGAGGAAATAGCAAATTTTGAAGTAAAACTTCTTTAGGCGTGACTGAGGGCTAAGTCAATACATTGGAAAAATGGATGTCGCGGAAGTCGGACGGATGGACGGACGGACAGACAGACAAACTCTGTCTCTTTATTATATTAGTATAGATTATTTATTGAAATGAATATTTATTACTCATAATTGTACAAAAAATATTTTGTAATATTTATATTTAGATTTGTTTTAATTTACATATAATTAAGGTATTTGCCACAGCGCCAAAGAAGTTTTACTTCCACTGCGTGTAAAGGTTACACGTACTCACTTTTTTTGAATTCAGAACTAATAGTTGCTATTTTAAAATTAAGAAATAACCCAATAACATGCTATTGATTCTGGTGTCACCAGTTAGAGCCACTTGCGAGTAAGGTCCTTTCGCTGTTGTTGAAAAAGTATTTGTTGGTGCGGCAAGAATAATGATTTTATTATAATGATCATAACTGTTGGCGCGAATACAGTACTATCAGGATTTCAAATAATTAATCATAACCAAATAAATAAAATATTGACTTTTTCTTAACTCGTATTTGCAAGCAATAAGCTTTATTGTGCCGTGCCGTGTCTGCTATAATTAATCAGGAATGGTACAATCTTTACAATAATCTATACAGATAAATAAAATTGAAGTGTCTGTTTGTAATGTCAAAATAACAGCGTTTTATTGATAAAGAAATTATATACGGTACTTATAAGAAAAACACAATTTTTAATTTTTTTGACTGTCTGTCTGTTTGTTCCGGATAATCTCTGAAACGGCTAGACTGATTTTAACGGGACTTTCACTGGAAGATAGCTGATGTTATAGGGAGTATCATAGGCTACTTTTATTTTGGAAAAAGATATAAGTTTCCGCTCAAAAAAATTAAAACGTACAAAAAATTTAAACGTATGAATATTAGTGAAAATCCGCGATGAAAAGCTCGCAAACAGTAAACATTCAGTATCATATTTTGACATTTCTAGAGATTCAAGCGCGGTAGCAGTATTCAAATTAGTATTGGGACAATAAAAAAATCAATTATTTCAAATATATTATTTAAAAACATTTAACTATTTGACGAAATTTCATTGGATAGAAATCTTTGATTATAAAGAGAGAAACTGGGATGACTTTATGTCCTCTATAGTGATGTATGTGCAATAACAAAAAAGAGAATTCTGTTAAAATTTGCTCATTCTAAGAATGTTTACGAAGTTGGTATAAGAGTGAATATGAATTTTCCAGATTATGAAATTTTGTAAATACGATACGATTAATACGATGTTATTGTAATTTTTCAGTAATCTGTCCGACCACAGCTGCAGTATTTTGATCACGGACCCCGTTGTTAAAGATATGGGTTTTTGGCGATGTGCTGTAAAGACTGAAAGCGACGTTCTCTATGGATTCGTAAAAGTGTTAACCCCTTGGATAATAAGGGATCCTGAAGTAGCTGCCTCAATTATTACAGGTTTACATAATACTTTCTTAGATTATATTATAGATAATATGTAGGGTACTTTGGTGCAATTTTTCAATTTTTGAATTCATTTTATTTGTGGGTAGGCTGTCTGTAACATCTATATAATACCTTTGAGACATCTAACACCTCAGTCTCTCCTGTGATCATGATTGCTGTAAAGCATTCGAAACGTCGGGAACCAAAAATCCAAATAAATCCGCGCAAACATCCGAAAAGATAGTTTTATTTAAAATATACAGGTTTGTTAGCGAGAACATTGTGTGTGAATATTTGTGGAGCCTTCAGTCATTTACATTTCCAAAATTAGTTACTTAAAAGTTGATTTTTCTACTAAAACTATGTATATATGACTAAAGATAAGCGTTTTTTTATAATTTTTTTCTTTATTTCAGAACCAACTTTGAAGGCCACCAGAAATGTAGTGGCGAGCCTGGCTGGCGACAATATTACTATGTCATGCTCAGTGCAGTCAGCCATTCGATACTGCTATTTTAGGGCCAGTAATGGAACTATGTTTAGTGTTCAATCAGGTAATTACGATTTTTATGATAAACTCAGATCGAGAACATTAAACAATCTACAAATTTAATAATTTATTTCTTGATAATAAGTAAAATCTGTCTAACGTACTAGCAAAGATTGTTTATTAATTATTATTTACTTTATAATATTAACTTTGATTATTTTTTTTGTTTTTCCAGCCGAGTCTCAGGACCAGGCAACTTATTTCGGGTCTGGTTTCGATGCTGGCGAGTGCGGTATCAGATTCTCAGGTCTTGCAGCGAACGACTCCGGCGCTTGGAGCTGTCATGTCGGGTTTTTGAACGCAATAATACCTGAGCAACGTGCAACGATCAATATCACTATACATGGTACTGCTTGTGCATTTTTGTGGGTATTTTAATGATAAAGATGAGGAATATACTTACAGATAATTTAAACTTAATAATACACAACACTTTTTATGCGTACTCGTATATTTTTGTTTAGTTTGCCATTTTTATGTATGATAAAAAAACCTTTTTTGATGAACTATACATGTAGTGAACCTGTCATTTTTCTAAGCAATTGAATATTTTATGAACATTAAGTCTTGTAAAGAGAAAGCATTTTCTAGTGCTATAATTAGAAGTTTCATATCACCTATATATACAAATATAAGAAATATAAGAATATCGGTATAACAGAATTTTGCAAAATTCCATAAAGACTAGACATTTAGGATCACAATGTGTGTGTTAAACTACAATGCATTCATGGTGGGAGATTTGACAACAGTGAAGTAAATTGTGCTAAATTGGCATTGAATCTAAATCTTTTAATTCGAATTACGATTTAGCACGGGATCGACATTACTTGATGCATGAGGCACGGGAGAATTTTTTGACATAAAAAAAACCTTGTTTCTTTCCGCTTCCGGGTCTAAACTGTACGAAACCAACCAAATATTGGGTTTAGATATTCTTAAAAAATATATCAAATTGAAAATATATACATATGTACCTACCTTTATTTTTAACAATGTTTCAGATCCAATGGTAGCAGATGGAAGCTTCCGCGATTGTCGGCTAACAATAGAAGCTCAAGTATATGAAAATAGAACACTTGATTACTGTCGATTTGTTCGAAATGATGGTTTAGGTAAAATATGACATTTTACTTTAAATATACCTGTAACAGATAATTTCGAAAAAAATTACCTATATACTTTACAATCTAAATTTTTTAGATCTGCCTCTTAATAAATAAAACAATTGGTATTAAAATAATATCTGTTCTTTCAGGATTTACATCGGAAAATATACCTGACAGTTACATTAATCTCTCTCTCCGATCGAGCGGCAGATGCGGTTTGGCAATCGATAACCCCCGTGATGTGGAACTCCATCCATGGACTGTTGTAGCCAAGATTACGGGACAAGCTTTAGAAATATCCAGAGTTATCCCAAGGACAAGAGTTCCAAGTATTATAATATGTAAGTTTACATATGATATAAAGACGTAAAATTATTGTAATCAGAACTATTCCAATTAATATATATATACGAGTCTATCTCAGAAGTAGGTCAGGTAGGCCAAGTAAAATTCGGTGTGACAGCACACAGTTTTAAATAAAACTATCTTTTCGGATTATTTCGCGGATTTATTTTGATTTTTGGTTCCCGACGTTTCGAATGCTTTACAGCATCCATGGTCACGGGAGAGACTGAGGTGTTACATGTCTTGAAGGTATAGTTATTACAGACAGCCTACCCACAATTAACAAAAAGAAAATTGCACCAATTACATTACAATATTTTAAATTTAAACATTTTTATAATTTTAATTATAATTGAATATGGAATATTATTTATTTAATTTTTGCTATTATTCTTGTAATTATTACAATTTTAAAAATATTAATTAGTAATCTATATTTAGTGTTGCCATTATTATATTTATAACCATAAAGAAAAATATAAAATATAGTATTAATTATTTACACACAGAACATTATTTACACACATAAAACAATTATATGGCTTAAATAATTAATACTTTATTTTATATTTTTCTTTATATTTTATATTTTTCTTTATGGTTATAAATATAATAATGGCAACACTAAATATAGATTACTAATTAATATTTTTAAAATTGTATTAATTATAAGAATAATAGCAAAAATTAAATAAATAATATTCTATATTCAATTGTAATTAAAATTATAAAAATGTTTAAAGTTAAAATATTGTAATGTAATTGGTGCAATTTTCATTTTGTTAATTGTGGGTAGGCTGTCTGTAACAACTATACATTCAAGACATGTAAGTTGTAACACCTCAGTCTGTCCCGTGACTTATATATGTAGCAATATACTCTATGCCCGTGACCATGGATGCTGTAAAGCATTCGAAACGTCGGGAACCAAAAATCAAAATAAATCCGCGAAATAATCCGAAAAGAAAATTTAATTAAAAAATGTCAAACATTCGCGTAAATCTAAGAAAGTATTAAGCACACAGTTTTTATTATTTTATACAGAGTCAGAATAACGCCTTAAACGACATTACAAAAAGGAATGACGCATTATTTAAAAGTCATGAAACAAAATACAACGCTGCTCCCGCCCTTTTTCACTCAAGATGACAACGTCAGAAAACTCAAATAAGAATTTTATATCAGAATGACAACATAAAGAATAAAATAATGAATCTACACTAATACCTACATATAAATCCTATTTTATATAATTAATAATTTATATTATATTTAGTATAACATAATTATTTGACAAAGTTTATACATGTATAAACATTTAGTTATTTTTCTGTAATTTATTTATGAGCTCGCGTAATATGATTACATACCTACCTAGATATGTGTGATTGCTGTGTTGTACCTTTAAACTTTCCATAACGGACAGGTGTAAAATGTAAAAAAAGATTTGAAAAAGGATCGAGTATTTAATTATTATTTTATTATATAATTAAATAAGATTTTAATTTATAATAATTTCTAAGGAGAAGGGGGTTTATTGTGATGAACGAATAAATAGTTATAAATTATAATAATTATAATATTATATGTATTTTTACATTAAATATCTAAAGCTCATGAAAATGAAATAATGATTTTTTAATCACATTCCCATATTTTACTCATGACTGAAAAATTAGCCATTACTAAGTTTGTCCTGCACATTTATAGATGACACTGCATCTATTTGCGTTTCCTGTGTTATATCACAGATTACATAGTATTATACTAGCTCTAAATACCGGTTTCGATACAGTGTGCATTTATTTATTTAGTACATATTATGTCATCTGTGATAAGAAAGCTACCTGTACAAATGTGTTTTTTTACAGTTTGGCCTTCACCATCTGCCTGGATTGTATTGACATCATTGTCTTTAACCTTTATAATAATTTGTATTGTCTTGGGAAGCAAAAATAATAGAGACTGGACATATAACAGAGCTAGTGTCATCAGGAACAGTTTCATAAGGAAGAATGTTGCACAACAACAACAAAATACTGAGAAGGATACCGCTCCATCTGCTTAAATATAAAATCATAAGATTTTGTTATTAAAGTTATCAACTAAAAAGTTTTTATATGCTTGTTAAATTAATATTATATAAAATGACAACATTATATAAGCTTTTTTATTCTATTTGTCCTGATATTACTGCAATATTTATTATAGTAGGGGAGCCCAAGAGGGGATTTTCTGTAGTTACTCGAGCGCGGCAGATTAACATAAAAGAGGTTACCTTGCACTCTATTGAGTAAAAAAAGTAAAAAAATAAAAAGTAAAAAAATCGACTATAAAGTTTATGATGATTTTTGCCTCTTAGGCTTGTGCAAATCGGCAGATTATTAAATTGGACACTTTTCAGGATGTGACTAGCCTACCACACCTTAATCTGACGGTTTCAAGTATTTTTACCTTATCAAAACATTTTTTAAATATTTTAATCGGCTTCCCTAGACGCGCCCCTTTATATAGAAGACTTAAATTGTGGTGAAAGTACTCAATAGAGTGCAAGGTAACCTCTTATATGTTAATCTGCCGCGCTCGAGTAACTACAGAAAATCCCCTCTTGGGCTCCCCTACTATTATTAATTTGTATGCTTAACACACAAAATTATTACCATCACTACCATAATGTTAGCCAGTTTTTACTGCGCTTTTAGACTTCTTTGTTTATACATGTTAATATTTTTACAATATAAGCTTGGCGTGTGTGAAAGTGTTCATTTTTCTGTTTTTAATTTTTATATTATAATTATATAACAGTTTTTTTTTTCATAGCGTTTGTACTTATCTTATTATTTAATGTAAATTTAATAGTCTCTACGCCATATTAGCCTCACTAAAAATTATAATTAATAAATGTGAAAGTTACATAGGGATGCTAGTAGACAGAAAGTCATGACAAGTCAAGAACACAAAATAAGGATATACTAAGAAACATTTCTGCTTGAATCAACCCTCAAATTCTAAGTTAATGGTTTACCCGAAGAGGGGTGCATGCCCCTTACAGTTAAGAGTGGCCGTACATGTTAGGTACCTAATGATATCCTGTCCTGTTTGCTTTCGTTCTCAGATTAATTAGTAGGTACACAAATATAAATGCATACTCTATACTATATTCCTTTTACGCTCAAACTCCGATGGGACAATTCGACCTAATCGCTGTGAGATCAAGGGTAGGAATCAGGACTGACAGCTTAGCAGGCTCTTTGAGGTGACCGCTAATAATCATCTATCATTTGCCCCACCCGTGAGTCAAACTCAGGACCTCCAGATCTCCAGTCCTACAAGCTAGGTTGACCAACGAAACAGATAAAAATATCATATTTACAATTAATTTCATTTTTACATTAAATATGGTTGGTAGATACATAAGTAACGATATTTAACAATGAGAAGGTTGGTTTTTCTTTATGTTTTATATAATATACAGGTATTATATTATTTATAAGGCTTTTTGTTACTGCCTTATAATTACTTTATTTTAAGGCAAACTGTTATGTGAGATAGGAAGCTTGAGAGCATGTATTCCTATGTGCGCCTACAGAAAAATAAAAACATCAACTAAAAGAAAAAATATATATATTCATTAAAAAAAAGTCCGTTATGTAATTTAAAAGTCTAACAAAAATATTTTTTATAATAATTGTAAAAATATTGATTAAGATCGATAAAAATAATACCTACTCTACAACAAATTTTGATACCCTTAATTTGTTCTAGATAACAAGATAAGATTGATAAATGTCTTTAGTCAGTTTCTAAAGTCCATATGAAAACTTTTAAAATGACATTTTTGATTATTTGTTCAGTGATTTGTGTATTTTTCGCTACCACAAATGGTATGTACAGGTGAAGAACGTTGTAACAAAAATATTTGACATAACGCAGCTGTATATTACATTGTAGGTATATACCTACAGCCATGCGTCGCGCTTTATTAGTAAAACAAATCGATAATAATAATTACCTTTTTTGAGTTCACATTATCTGTTTCGTATTTTTTTTAATTCGAAAAAAAAACATTTAGTCAGGTATAATTCAAAGGGAATTATATAAAAAAGAAGCATGTTTTTCTCATAATACGGAAAAGCTTTTGTAAAATATTGACTATATAAACATTTATCTATGGTCTGTCTAAGACTCCTTATGGTAATGATATAGGGTTAAAGCGGTGATGATATAAAGATAATGAGTCAAAATATCCTCTTTCTATTCTCTAGATGTTCCTCAAAGCCAATTATTTTTTCCACCAAGAAACTTACTGTTTTCAGTCTGGAACTAAGAAAGTTCTTGCCTTGGAGAGCACGTACAACTCGCTCTTGTGCTAATTATATAAGTTAAATAAATAAATTTTGTTGCATAATATTTGCAGCGTACCGAAATGACTACTTTTAAGCCGTTCACTAAAAGAGAGAGATAAGAGAGATAAAAAGACTTTAATTATGTTAATATCTTATTATTTCCATCTTAATAGGAAGCCCGGCAAGAATTTCTGGCGGTACAATCGCCAATATAAACGATTATCCGTTTGCAACATCCCTTCTAAGCAACCAAGGCCAAGGAGCATATAACCAGGCATGTGGTGGTACAATCATTTCAAGGACAGCTATCCTGTCTGCTGCTTCTTGCTTCGTTACGAATAATATGTAAGTAATTCAAAATTAATCGACATAGTTCAAATACATTTTCTGGTTCTTCTTTGGCGTGTCTGGTTCTTGTTAAAAAATGTAGATGATCATAATAAGTAAATTCGGTAATATTATCTATACTTAAATATCATAATAATAATTGAATTTCAAAATAAACGGCTTTTAGATGTACCTAAATCTTTACTAAGTTCCAGCAACTGCTGACGATTTACACATTGTACCTCTTAACGCACTTTGCTCTTTATTTCGCTAAACTATAATCAAAATTTTGGTTTAAATACAAAATCTTTAATTAGATAACTTTTAAATGCGGAAATATTACCTGCGGCCTCAAACACTTAATATAAAATATATATCTAATCAACGAATTTATAGGAACAAAATGTAAAATAAAATGTAGTACATTTGTAGTTATCAGACATTTAATGAACTTTTTCACATATTCAAAGCAAAATTTTCAAATTATATATAATTTATTTGGAATTTAAAGGGTTGAACCAGTACTGTGGTGGCGGGCCAGGATCGGAACAGCCAACTCTAACACTCAAGGCCTGGTCCATCTCATTCGCCAGATCACAGTTCACGAGGACTACCAAGCTGTTACTCGAGTCAACGACATCGCAGTGCTCAGGACCTCTGTCGCCTTTGTGTATGGAGATACTGTACAAGCAGCAGATATCGCTGGTGGAGCATACTCATTGGCGGTTAACGATCGTGTTTGGGGAATTGGATGGGGTGCCACTTCGGTACACATTTATGCACAAAAATATACCTACAGAGTATATACGTTTATCTCACGCACTTTTAAACCTATTGATGTTAGAATATCAGTGTCCTAGAGTGTAGACTCTCCAGTCTATAAGAGCAGCATCCATTGATAAGTTGGGATCTATAGTGTTGGTAAAATAACTTAAAATTTGAACTTTCGTTACGCGGGACCGCATGGTAAAAACAAAAAGAATACTTTGAGTTATCTCAGTATGTAGTCTAAATGCCAAATTTCATCAAAATCTGTTCATCGGTTCACGCATGACAAACAAACATCAAATCTTATTTAACATAAGGAAGTAAAATAAAAAATAAACCAAGAGTAACACTCTGAATACGACAACTTGAAATATATCCATCATGAGATCTGTTTTACTGTAAAATTTTATGAATATATTTCGGACTTACCTACATAAAAGTAGTAATTTTGTTACTTGATATTAAATATTAATATTAAAATGAGGTTTAAACGCGGAAACTTATTAAATGTTTCAGGTGGTAGGATCATCATCACCTGAACTTCGCCATGTCGAGATATTTATAAACGATCAACAAATATGTGCTAGCCGTTATAGCGAGATTGGCTTCGACGTCACCAATAACATGTTATGTGCCGGCTGGCTCGATGTTGGAGTCAGAGGACAGTGTCAGGTAAGTTACTGTAGTTTACAAGATTATCAAATTCGGATTTGTAAAGTGGCAAGTTTATTTGTTTTTCTAAGATTTAATAGTATTCGTTTATAGGTATTGAAATATGTAAGCATTTGACAAAAAAAAAACACCCAGTTTCGATTAGACTTGGTGTATAATAGAATCTGGTAAAAAGTGAAAGATAAGTAAAGATTTTTTTGACTTTTGGAACTCTAGCCAATATATACAATTAAATGAGATACTTAAAATTATAATGGTAAATCTAAAAAGATTACAAACTACAATACAAACTATTACATTTTAAATTAATTGATATAAAAATACGTATGTAAACGATGTTTTAACGGTTTTTCCTAATGTTTTGAAATTAGAATAAAACCTAATTTCTTAGTTTATATTCGACACATTTTTTTTATTGTTGTTACTTATCTTCGTTAAAATTATATTTCTATTTATTTAATGTTTTTGTTCAGGGTGATACAGGCAGTCCACTTCTTCATCAAGGGGTCGTTGTGGGAGTGTATTCTTGGTCTCAGGGTTGCGGAAACAGTCGCTACCCTAACATAAATACAAGAGTTTCAGCGTATTCAAGATGGATAGAGGCAACTGCTACTGCAGCTTTAACCAATTAAAAGTGTCTGGAAACAATTATTATTATGCCATTAACGAAAATATAAAATGCTAAACAGTTATTCCTCATACAAATTTTCATCCCCATTTTCACCCCCTTAAGGGATGATTTCAGGGATAAAAAGTATCATGTGTTCTTCCCAGGGTCTCAAACTATCTTTTTACCAAATTTTGTCTAAATCGATTCAGTAGATCCAGAGATTACCCCCTACAACGTCACAAACTCACAAATCACAAAGTTTACCTCTTTATAATATTAGTATAGATTGTAAATAACATATCTTTAACAGGACTAAATTAATTAGGTAATAGATATATCCATTTGCCTAAACCGGATCATATCTATTTCATAATGCTGGCTGTCGCGAAAGACGCTTTAAAAATAAAACGATAACTAAAAAAAATTAGAAGACTTGTAGGAGTTATAAGATAAAGAAAATTTAATAAAATTGTTTCTTTTTTAAATGGGAATTTTAGTTGTTTCCTCTAAAAACGAATTGTTTACTTTAAAATGTATTGATGCCCTTTTGTATAGAATGGTTTTTTATTTTAACAATTGCTTTTTTAATATTGATCTTCCAACAAATACATAGAAGTCTATAGTATAATAATAAAAAATTAAAAATTATATATATAATAATTAAAAATGATTATATATATATATATATATATATATATACCAAATATTTTTTAATTATTATATATTATTTGGCCAAACGAAAATATTCCAATTCTACAAAACTTACTCTGAATTAAAACGAATGACCCACCCTCGCTTCACTCAGGTGTGTCCTTTCGCATTTATATCTCATTCACTATCAGGGATAAAAAAATAATTTTACATTGTTTCACATTCATAATTTTACACAGACAGACATTTATTTAAAAAAAATATTGCATTGTGGTCTGTATCTATAATCAAGTTAATTCCAACAAGAATTTAAAAAAAATTACAGATCAATTTTATTATAAGTATATTCGCAGATAGCCAATAGTTTTGTTTTTTTCTTCCTTCTCGTTAGTGTTGTTTTTTTTGAACCCAGAAAGTCATACTGCGTCCGTGTACTAAGACAAACAACAACTGCTACGGTGACCAGTGGTTTACATATCGATATATTGTCTACGCGCACTACGCAGGAGGAAAATCGGTAACGGGGTTTAACCGCTATATGTAATTATTAGAGCGCAGGAGGACTATTAGCTATCAAAATTTAAGATTAGTGATATATCCGAGTCGGATTATGGTCGCTTCGCTCCTGCTTAGTCTAGATTAGATTAGCGACACCACAGACACGGTAATATTACATACAGTATTACATCTTCATACAAATCTTCGGAAATCGAGTTATACCTACACGCGCCGCGTTCGGTACACACTCGGTAGACAACCGTGCGGGGCTGCCACATAGTATAATTGAATACGAAAATTGTATAAGGTGTTTATGTTATGTAACTTTTATAATTTGATACAAAAATAAACACTTTATTCCTCCCGTAACTTCGCTAATATCAAACAAAAAAGGCACTAAAAAGTAAAAAATAACTGATTGGTAGTTTTCATTTACTATACATACCTAATCAAATATTTTCGAAGTCGGTGTGCTTTGGCTAAGTAGTTAAAGCCTACCTATTAAATACATAACTAATCAAATATTTACGAAATCGGTGCCAGCCCATACAAAGCAAAGCACACCGACTTCGAAAATATTTGATTAGGTATGTATAGTAAATGAAAACTACCAATCAGTTATTTTTTACTTTTTAGTGCCTTTGTTTGAAGTCGGTTTTTATTTTTTTGTTAAAAAGTTTTTATTTTTCCCTTTTTAGTGTAAACAGTAGTAGCAAAGTAAGAATTCTAACGTTAACAGGCTTGTCAAATCAAACAAAATAAGCCCAAACTCAAAGTATCTACTATTAGCCGTTGAAAAGTTCCACCTATCCACCTTCTGGCCTTACCATCAGATCAGGTCAACAATACCAAACCACTGTACTATCAACGGAAATAGAAACATTTGCAAAGTTTCAAGTCAATATGACAATTAGAAGTAGGTTAAATTCATTATTAGCTATTTTTCCACCCTTAGGGGTGGTATTTTTTTTTTGAAATTTAAATGGGACCAATCTGGAAGTATACCCTTTCAAACAAAACAAAAATTGTCCAAATCGGTTAATAAATCACGAAGTTCTGAGGTAACAAACATAAAAAAAAAAAAAACATACAGTCGAATTGAGAACCTCCTCCTTTTTGAAGTCGGTTGAAAAGTATCGAGACATCGTATGTTTTAAAAATAAAAATTAATTAATTAAATTAAAAATAAAAATTAAAGTATTTTTAATTAAACTTTTTATCCGAATGCGGATTCTTTATATTATTAAATTTAACAATAAACCTTTTCGTACGTCTCAGTCGAGGCGCAAATATTTTCAAATCTAAAATTTATAGCAGCCCTGTCGCGTGGGTACGTGCCGCTCGGCTGTAGGTAATTATTTCAAGGACAGGCCCGAGTTGGAATACTGTATGCATTACATTACCGTGCCACAGATCACGTAATACTATACTAGCGTTCAGGGCCGGATTATCCATAAGGCAGTTTAGGCCACTGCCTATGGCCCCGCATCGATTAGAGGCCCACGCATCGAGAAAAAAAATGAAAATTTTTCATCGAGTGAAAATTTTATTTGAAAAATTAAAAAAATTGGTGAAATCCCACCATGAGAACACATACAACAGTTAAATTTTTATGAAATCTACATAATAGCGTAATAATCTATATCTACATATAATAAAATTGTAACTAAGCCGAATTTGTACATTACATATTTTTTGGAAAATCTTTTTGAAATAGACATTATTATCGATATAGAGGCCGATTCTGTAGTTTTTAGAATTTTTGTCTGTCTGTCTGTTACCGCATCACAGAAAAACCACTGGAGGGTTTTGATAAAATTTGCCATGGTGATAGCTGGTTATCCGGGTCAACATATAGGATACTTTTTACCGCGGGAAAGTATCTCATTTCTGAGAAAAATACAAAAACTTCATTGTAAGACAATACTAATATGTAAAATCTAAGTATTACTTTTTGGTCATCTGAACGCGGGCGGAACCGCGGGCAATGCTAGTTACGAATATAATTGCATTGTGGTAGAAAAAATGTATTTCAATAAGTTAGAAAAGGGTGAAGGAGCCCCTAGAATTGCATTGCCTAGAGGCCTCCGACATGGTAAATTCAGCCCTGGCCCTGCTAGCGTTACTAACATCTTAAGGTCCAGGAAAACAAAAAAGTATCTCCTGTAGATACTTTACCAGATAATGTAATTATGACGACAAAATAGTTCCTGCAAAATGAACCAAGAATAACTATTCAAAAGTAAAATATAAGTATAAAGTAAAATATCAGTACGTCTATCTGGATATTTATGTTAGATTATGTTATCGGCCAATATCCTACGATAACTGTAAATGTATGAGAGTATTCTTTGATGGCGATTAGGTATTTATCAGTGGACATATTTGTACAAATAGCTTACGATTGGTACATACTTATTAGTTGTATCTTAAATGACAAAATTAATTTTTATTTTAAGAGTATTAAGTATGAGTATGTAAAGTTTCATTAAAATCCATTCAGCAGTTTTTGCGTGAAAGAGTAACAAACATACATACATCCTCACAAACTTTCGCATTTATAATATTAGTAGGATGAAACCTTCTTCTACATTTACTTTAATGAATGTTCCTTAATATAGTTTCAATTGAAAATAAAATCAGTACAAAACTTATTTGATCTTTTTTTAGTTTGAACATTTCAACCAGCTTTAAAATCTATTTCTAACAAATATATCGTATTAATAGATACGAGATCAAACATTATAAATACATAATATTATCTATACATATAATAAAATTGTAACTAAGCTGAATCTGTAGGTACATTAAATATTTTTTGGAAAATCTTATTGAAATTATCATTACAGATACAGAGGCCGAATCTATAGTTTTTAGAATTTTTGTCAGTCTGTCTGTCTGTCTGTTACCACATATAATACCACAGAAAAACTACTGGAGGGATTTTGATGAAATTTGGTATGTTGATCCAGGTCAACATATAGGACCCCCCCAATGTGCGTTCACCTTGGCGTGGTGGGGGGGCTCAGTAGTGCCCGGCAATCCAACCGGGCGCGAAGCTAAGAAACGCACAGGGAGGTTGCCCACTTCGGTGGGCGGTGGGAGGTGGCCCTCTGCGGGGAGCGGTGTACCATGCGGGTTGCTCCTGGTACTTCTCTGATAGCAGAGTGGACTGTGGAGCAACCCCATGGTTGTGGTGGTCTGCTTCGGCAGACCTGCCGTCGGGGCGTCGTAGTTGAATGCGTAAGCGATCCTGCGACGCCCCATTAAGACGGGGGAAGGTTTTGTTGGGTTTTAGTGGGTAGTACTGGCTGTATTACGCCGGTGAGTCCCACACGTCGTGCGTAAATGCATTTCCCAACGTTAAAAAAAAAGTCAACATATAGGAACTTTTTACCGCGGGAAAATATCTCATTTTTGAGAAAAAATACAGAACCTGCGATGTAAGAGTTTACTAATATGTAAAACCTAAGAATTTGGTTTTTGGTCATCTGAACGCGGGCGGAGGCGCGGGCAATGCTAGTATATTATAATAATCTTTAGACCACTTAATCAATTGATCATACAAAGCCTTGTGCTAATAACATAAATTGCATATGTATATTATATACATGTCCTTAGTATATACTTTTGTTCACATTATTATTATTGATATGCAAATATTGTTCTTTAAAAATCGTGTATTGTGCTGTATATTTCTATAGAAATTGTGTATTCTAGGTTGCCTGTAAGAAATCGCTGATAAATATCGCTTTTGCACATTTTTAGTTATATTACTTATTTGTTATAACTTATATACTCTTATATAATGCCATTTATATATACAATAAAAATTTAAATTAAAATATTTTTATACAGTACCTATAGCTACGCTCAATTACAAAAATGTTTTTTTAATACGATTACAGTTAATTTTACAAATACTTTTATAATTTTCATAAAAGAAAAAGCTAAACATACATTTTAAGGTGAGTCGGATGGAAGTTCTACAAAATGTATAGAGTTTTCATTACTTTTGATAAATAAGCAAGGAGAATTTTTCAGTTGCTGATTCGCAATCCCAATTCAATGTATTCCTGAAACCTGATGTGGAAGAAAGCGACACATATAGAATATATCAAAGGATTAAAAAGAGATAAAAGATATGATGGACATGGAAACAAAATGAAATATTTCTTCTGTCAGTTTGATTAAAATTTTGAAATGTTTGCACGTGTTTTATTTGTAGCAGTACTGTATGAGCTACAATTTGAGTGTACGATAATAAAGTTCAAGGAGCCTGAAATTATAAGTTAGTATAAATTTTTTTTCTAATTTCATTAGTTTCAGTGGTGTAGTGTTATAATGGCTGGCAAAGACCTGTACGGTCGCAGATTCGATGTTCGATTTGAACTAACTTCACTAGAAATAAATAGGTATATGTATAGCGTGAAGACACTTTTTTTGCATTTATACTCTATGAAGTTATGTGTCCTATAAATAAGATTTTATTGTTTTAAATATATAAAAAAAAATTAAGTATTATATAGCATTTATTTATTCAGTTATTCATCGATTGATGAAAGCAGTGATCAATCTCACAGCAATAGAGGTGATGTCTGAGAACTATAGCACCAGCTACTATCTATAGCACCACCAAAACTCGAACCTAGGGCCACACGATCTGTAGTCGTCTAAGTTAAACATGATCAAAGAGACCCAAAAATCTAACACATTAACATCTAAGAAAATCAGTTTTATTAGGAAACAGATATCTACAGTTGTTAGCTATCGGAATATAAACTATGACGAACGCAATCCAATTTCCCATAGTCAATAATCATTTTCAACGAAATGTTAATTGAAAATTTTTAATTTTAATCTCGGATTTATGGCTAAGTCATAATACGGCCATGCCGCAGTTACAAGTAAAATTTATAATTTATGCCACCCAATAAGAAGAAATATATATATCAAATTAACAAAATAGTTTAAAGTCATTTGTAATGTTATAAAGCCTAAAAAAATATATTTCTATAGATACTTGAATGTAAACTTGCCTCCTTGGTCTAATACCTAACATTTACGGATGCAGATCCAAAGGTCCTGGGTTTGAATCAAAGGTCGGGCCGAGTGTAGGTACTATTAGGTTTCTCTGTTAAGAAATTCTCAGTAGCATCCCAAAGTTGGGAAATTGACGGTGTTACAATGACTCGGAGAGCATTTAAGGCCGTCGGAATTCGGCCAGGACGACGTAATTATTAAGTACTAGCATTGCCCGCGGCTCCGCCCGCGTTCAGATGACCAAAAACCAAATTCTTAGTTTTACATATTAATATACTCTTACAATGCAGTTTTGTATTTTTTCTATGAAATGAGATATTATCCCGCGGTAAAAGTATCCTATATGTTGACCCGGATAACCAGCTATCACCATACCAAATTTCATCAAAATCTATCCAGTGGTTTTCTCGTGATGCGGTAACAGACAGACAGACAGACAAAAATTCTAAAAACTATAGATTCGGACTCTGTATCGATAATAATGTCTATTTCAATTAGATTTTCCAAAAAATATTTAATGTACAGATTCGACTTAGTTACAATTTTATAAATAATAACTGCAATGTAAGAGTATACTAATATGTAAACCCTAAGAATTTGGTTTTTGGTCATCTGAACGCGGGCGAAGCCGTGGGCAATGCTAGTATATAATAAATAAAGGTAAAATATATCTTACGATTCGATAAAGACTTCCTCAACTCGAGTTTTACTAACCAAGTAAAAAAGGCAAATAATTTAGGTTTCGTTATACTGTAATACCTAATATGTACGTACTGATTACCTGAATTCGTGTAATAAATATTTTCTGATAACAAATTAAATTGATGTAATATTTCTTTTTAAACTAAGTAGGTACATTCTTTACTTATAAACGATTCTTAGATGATGTTAAACTATTAAATTCAATTCAATTCTCTTGCTAATGGCTTCAAAACGTGCCAGTTGAGCACAGATTACTTAGCCAGTGTCACTATTAAATTCAATCTATACAGATAAATAAAATTGAAGTGTCTGTTTGTAATGTCAATATAAGTTTTTTTCTAAATGCATATTATGAAATTATAAACGGTATTTATAAGAAAAACACATTTTTTTTGTGTCTGTTTGTTCCGGCTAATCTCTGAAACGGCGGAATTGATTTTGACGGGACTCTCACTGGCAGATAGCTGATGTTATAAGAAGTCAATTAGGCTACTTTTATTTTACAAAAAGAATTAGAGTTCCGCTCAAAATGTAACAAAATTATAACGAACGAAGCGAGTATAAGCCCCTAGTAGTAGGTATATAAAAATATTAATAGGAACTTTTTAGACTATCATTTTTGACTGTCCTTTTTGTAGGATACGTAAAAGATTTTTCAACATACTAAGAACTCAGCTGCGCTAATATGTTATCTGTACAATCTATGTACTCGTAAGTCGTATATATTATAGCTATACTAGCAATACCTGCTCTGCTCGCGTTCTAACGACCAAAAACCAAATTATTAGGTTTTACATATTAGTCTACACCAATTTCGTTGAGCACCGCAAAATTAGTAAAACAATGACGATTCATAAGTTACTTTACCAATTGTTTATAGTTTTGGCGTGATTTTATTCTTATCAGTTTTAATTATCTATCTAAAAAATGTTTATTACTTCGTATCGCTTTTACAATAAGTTTTTTCAGATTTGGTTCATTAAGAATTTTATTTTATACATACCATTACATATATATCTCGCATGTAATTTGGCTACATTCTTAAGTAAGTTATGGAATCTTTTACGTATCTCACTTAAAGCACGGTAATGTTATATATGTAATTTAGTGGTTGTTGCGTGACGATAAATCACAAATAAAAGAATATGTTACGTCACTGATGAAATTATAATAATAAAGTCAACTCACACGTAAAAACAGTACAGAAGGAACGTTTAGGGAAATACACTATGACACAAAGAGTTACAGTACAAACATATAAAGTCCACATACAATATCTCACGAAAAACGATTAAATTATATAAAACAAGTAAGTCGCATCAAAGGCAAAGCATCGACTGCTTGTTAGGAAAAATGTTATTAGTGGACGGTAGAAGCAAAACAAATTCCTATCCACTATATACTACCGGTTTCGCGCGGCTATGCTTGTCGATTTAATATAATATGAATAATTGATAATAAATAAATATAAATAATTATGTATACGTGTTGTGTGTGTGTATGTAGGTGAGTAGATAATATAAATACGTAAATTGAATATTTAATAAAATATAAATATTATGAAATGAGAAGTTTAATATATAAATATGATAAATTAAATATATTATGTTATAAGTCACCTACATGTAACATTACCGTGCTTTAAGTGCTCAATCTTCTGCATTGTATTATGCAATATCTTTAATTCATCCAAAAATATAATAATAATATAAATTAAATGGTTTAAACATAAAAAAAAAACTTTTCGTTTTAACTACTTGGTCTATCGTAAACACGTTCATAGTTGTGATTAAAATAAAAGTTGAAATTGTCATTGCCGGAATGGAAGCTGCTACCTTTCAAGAGAACGTCAGCTAGGTATCTATTTTACAACCTTAATATCTGAATATTGTTACAGGTAACACTAAAATCGAATTAAAACCCGTTCACATATCGACCAGATTGAACGATATCGTCATTTTAACAGCACCTATTATCAACAACCAAACTATTTACTACTTAAGCAAACCAAATGGTGATGTAACGAAACTTAATTTAAATATAAATGCAACTGCTTACTACGAATCCAATGTATACGACGTGATCGTAGTGATCATGAAAAGAAGGTTACAATCAATAATAACATCAGTGAATGAATATAGTTTATTCAACCTTAATACCGAATGCTGTACCGATAAAGATATATTTGCTGAAAAAGAAAGGGAGTTAAAGGCGAATGATTTCATGATAGGTCCTCTAATAGGTGATGATCATGGGAATTGGGCGCTAAGTGCTTATTTCAAGAATTTTGACGAATGGATTGAGGTGTTTCAAGTAATTACAATTGAAATTATAGGTAATTTATATATTATGTATTTGTCTACATTTTCTCTTGAATCCAATTACAGATACTTAATTACAAGTAATTTTAAAATAAATTGTCTATTTAATTTAATCTATTATTAACCTATGCTATCTAGAAGTGAATAAGGGCTGAAGTGATTAAAAAAATGATACTAATATCAAAATTTTAGAAGTGCATTATAGTTTTTTGAAGTTTAAGCTTATTAACAAGTAGTTATAGGTAAGATGTATTGACTAACAGTTAAATATTTACACGTTTCCTTTAAAAATTGTTACCTAAAACGCATTACGCAACCACGTCCGATATTCTCACCGCGAGATACCTGAATAAGTATCCCTCCATTGCGTTCTATAGAGCGTAACGCGCTCGGACTCAGATTGTCAACAGCTTGAGCCGGAAAAACCACTTTTGTCAACGGGTGATGCGTAAGTCAACTCTCCGGTGAGCTTATCACACAGCATCGTCATCTTATGTCACACAGATCGCATAGGTAATACTAGGTAGTAATGAACGGTGAAACTATCATTATATGAAACGCGGCTGTATGAAGCTGATTCTATTGGAAAGTTTCTTATGTACCGTGACATTGGTCTCTTTCAGTAAAAGAACAAGAGCGCATCTTTTTAGTTAACTTTTCAAATTAGTAATATTTAATTGGTCACTTAGATAAGATACTTTTTAGTGATACCTAGTTAAGAATTTAATACTTCTAACTTATTTATTTCAGAACCATTATCTACAGAGCCAGCAAAACCAACGTTAAGGCCTGGAGAAACTTTCAACTTGCGTTTCGCGTATGCCATAAAAGATCTACAGAGTTGTGAAATTGTAGCTCCAAGATCTACTTTTGATAGATTTTATGATAGAAATATGGAGTTTTCAGATTTTTGCAGTTTTCGAATACCAAATGTGACTAAACACGATGCTGGACTATGGAGGATTATTGGAGTTGGCAGGATAGTGTATGTAGCAGATGTTTATTTAAAAATAGATGATATTACCACAAAAAGTTATAAATTATTTTATTTCGTCCCAATTTTTATACATTTATTTCTTATCACATCGTATAATACGATATTGTTTAAAAAATCTAAAATCTTTATTTAAACTATCTTTACTTTATTACCAGACGGAAATTTGTAGAAAGAGAAAATAAAAGAAAATAATTTTTAGATATTGGTGTAGTGACCACTATTAGGATCGTTTTTTTTAATCTTAAAATTTATGCCGGACCGTTCTTGAGGTATATAACCTAATCAGTATTTAGAAGCCGTCAGACAGAATCGTTGTTTTGACAATCTTTACAAGCCCTAAATATTTAAAAGGTTTCTAAATAAACAAGGATAAAGTATACAAGAAATTAATATTAATGAAATCGGGAGTCATTTGGATATAGCAACTCTAATTTTAAACAAAACCTAACTAACCGTTCAATTCTATATATAAAACAAAGTTGCGTTAGTTACACCATTTATAACTCAAGAACGGCTGGACCAATTTTTATGATATTTGATTTTTTGGATTTCTCTTAGTTCAGCATCGGTTAATAAGTATTAAAACATCGAAAAAGTTCACGAAAAAATATATATATGGCTAACGCTGTCTAATAACTATTTATATCTACTTAAAATGTACGTTTTATATATGTTAAAAATATTGGTTTATAAGATTACGGTATAGCACTCATGGTCAAAATAGTAAACATTAAAATATTGAAACGGTTTAAAATAAAACACGATATACTTATAAAATAATATATTCAACATAACAATTTGTCAGCTCATGTATACATACATTATACACTCAATTCATAGTGTACTAACCCATAGATTTGTCTCGTACAGAGGTTTAACAGATTAACTGTCCGCAAAATAGACACAATAGTTAAACAATCGAAATGTTCATATATGACTCATGGGACAGGGAAATGGTTAAAATAAAACACGATGAGTGTACTTATAAAATAACATATTCAACACAACATGTTGTCAGCTAATATATAGATACATTATACACTCAATTCAATGTACTAATCCATACATTAAGGAGCCGCTCCCGACTATCATATTAACTTTTGTACATAAGTCGGGAAACGGCGTTAGGGTTGGCAAGTTGCAAATTCGTGGTGAATTTTAACTTTTTAACGCCATAAATTGTTATTATTTAACAACCCATAACAGTATTTACGTTCAAATTAATGAGCTTACTGTATCGCTGTTTATGTTCTCAGTCGCTTTAAATTATACTATTTCGTACGGATTTTTTTCGCGGATTTATTTTTCTTTTTTTGGTTCCTGACGTTTCGAATGCTTTACAGCAATCATTCAATTAATTTTTTTGTTATTTAGCTTTTAGGCGTGCTAGTTGGGTATTGATTACTTCGCCAATGTCTTATAGAATGGAAAGATACGGTGTAGATAAGGTATTAACCGGTTAAAAAGAGAGAGATTCACGCTGAGGTCTCTTTACATATAAAATATGAGCATTTAATTGCATGATCTGGATCTACAATTACAGCAATCATGGTCACGGGGGAGACAAAGGTTTTAGACGTCTCGAATGTTTTTATGTAGTTGTTACAGACTGCACCCACCCACAAAATTATACGAATGATTTTCAAAAATACAAAAACGTCACTAAAGTGCCTTACAATATTTATTAATTTTAAAATTAAATTTTATCTACTTTATAATAAGTTTTATTAAATCCGTAAAAGATAGCTATATTTAAAATGTCAAATTACTATGCCCACTGGACCGTATCAACAGCGTATCATACCCATACATAACGGTTTAAGTGCTGCGTATGCTCACTATTGCAGGCACGGAGCGTACCGGCACCGGTAAAATGTTCTCACCGACAATCGTTACCGCTCCGTGCACGGCACGCGACGGTGCCGGAACGGTCTAGTGGGCAGAGTTTCATACTTTTCAATACAACGAATATTTTTTGCCTGACACGGTCATGGTACGAGACAGTGTAGCGGGCAGATACCTTTCACAGCATTTACGTCAAATATGGGCTAACTGTATGTATGTTTGTCCTTATTCGCTGTTGGAGCCCGAGGGCGAGCCAGACCTAGAGGAGCGCTGCGCGTCGCGCGCGTCGCCCGCGTCGCTGTCCGAGTCCGAGTCCTTGAGCGCCTTGGCGCGGTCCAGGCGCCGCGCGCGCCGCGTCTCCACGTCCGAGCCCTCCGACTCCGACGAGTATATCGCAGCACCCGCTGTGGCTGTTACATTATAAATAAATATATTGGGCCATTAACACACAGCACCATCCAGTTCCATGGTAAGCTACGAGGCTTGTGTTATAGATACCAGATTATTGATACACTACACATATATAACTTTATATACATACACATATAATAAATATAAACACCCATGACTAGAGTACAAACATTCGTGCTTATCACGCAAATGAGTGCCCTCAGCAGGAATAGAACCCACGACCGCGGGCACAGCAAGTAGGGTCACTAAAAACTGAGCCAAACGTGTCGTCATTCAATTGTTGCTTATTAGTATTTTTATGGCCATATACATATAATTATTTATATATGTTACTAGCGCCTTACCCTCACTTAGCTCAGGTTAGTCATTGGATGCCTAACAGTAGCCTTTGTGTTACTCTGTCCAGCCGTTTCAGTGTGATGGAGTAACAAACGTATACACAAATAAACACACTACTTACGTTATATGTACGTTTTAAATGTTATGTATGGAATAAATAGATTACTTATTAATATATATATACAAAGATATAGTAAGTTTTATATCCCTAACTTGAGAAATTATTGATACCCGATAAAAACTTTCATCCCCTTTTTCACTCCATTAAACGATAATTTCCAGGATAAAAATTGCCCTATGTCCTTTCCAGGGCCTCAAACTATAGTCATACTAAATTTTATCTTAATCGGTCCAGCGAATTTTCACTTTATTCATTACAAACAAACATACAAAAAAAAACTCTTTATAATATTGGTATAGACAATTCTAGCACTGCTTGTACACTTTCCTACAAAAGTGGGTTAAGTAACAATGAAAGTATACACATATGCTGCTGCTCGTATATTTTCCTACAAAAGCCCTTACAAAACTCAGTAACAACTAACAAGTAACAAGAAAAGCACTGACCCTTCTGCCCCTGCTTGTACTTGTTCTTGATGGCGGCGAGCGACACGCCGCCCTCGTCCTCGGAGTCGTCGTGCCGCGCGCGCGCGCCGCCGCCGCCGCGCCGCTTGGGCCGCGTGCTCGCGCGCGACCGCATCGCCGCACGCAGCTCCATTTCTTCTTTCTGATTGTTATTATCATTATTTACGTTAAATAAAATAGCCTTTACTCAGAGAGTACAGCAGATCACTACATAGTATAAAACGAAGTCGTTTCCCTCTGTCTGTCTATCCCTATGCATGCTTTGATCTTTAAAACTACGCAACGGATTTTGATGCGGTTTTTTTAATAGATAGAGTTATTGATGAGGAAGGTTTTAATATATAATTATAAAGTCTTTGTATACATTGGTTAAAATATAACGATATTTGTTGGAGGTGACGGAAAAAAATAAGCGGTCTGGTAATGATAGATAATGTCTCTGAACTCGTGTGCGCCTATTACCGAAGGCCTCCTCCAACTTTCACCATCACTCTTATCCAGAATGGTCCATATTATTATTATTTATTGAAGTGATAAAAACTTAAGCTGGAGTGAAATCTGGCTTTGTTCGCGTGAAGTGTAAAACACAGACACATACAAACATTCATGTATAGAATAGAAGCCCGAGTACTAACTTCAAACTTATCACAGCATCACTCACTAACTGACTGACTATACCTCACCTTGAGCTGATACTTTCTATCAGCATCAGGATCACTGCCAACTTGAGACAGTATCTTGATCGCGGACGTCTTCGTAGACCTGTCTGCTACAGACAGTGTCATCTTACGATGAGTGAACGAGTCCGTGGAATGCGGCCTGAATGAGAGTTTTGTACGGAACACCGCTTGGCCTTGGAGACCTGTGCCTTGCCTTACGAATAGATGATTGTGGTCGCCCTACAAATGAAAGATATTTTGCATTATGTTAATGGATTTTTATTTGGAAACAATTTAGATTTTTCTAAGTAAATGTGTTGATTACACCATTTAGAGCCAAATTAAATGTAACCACAATTAAATTGCAATGCATACTAATATTATAAATGCGAAAGTAAGTAAGAATATCTATCTATTTCATACTAAGCGTCAAATAAATTCAACTCACATGCAAGGGCTGTTTATACACGTCGAATATTTCAGAACCTAGATGCAGAGACATGCTGCCGTCGGACCACTTCACCATACGGGCGTTGGATTCTTTTACCGCATTGCCTTCCTTATCGAACACTGTTCGCCAACGTATCGTGTTTTCTACTTTTAATTTCAACCTGAAATAAAACAATATTAAATACAATGTTATTAAGCTATTGCATAGCTTCTATCGCGGGCCTTGAGCGTGGGGACCGAATCCAGAAATGACATCTGACGTTTCTGACGATCTGACATTTGACATCTGTTTCGGTAAGAAGTAACACATTTGCTTGCCTCGTAACTGAATCTTGTAAATCGTATTTGTGACTATTTAGACTTTGGCAGTTGAAAGTAATTATTGAAATGCCATTTCTATTACTAATGAAATCTAATACACTCTGAGCTATCGTCTGAACACTATTTAGAGACAGTCTTTTGAATTCTTGCAACAAAGATGCAGTCGATGCAGCTTGCTTTCGAAAATATTGAATTTGAAAATGAATAATGATCCACAAGAATCCACAACAAAATATGGAACCACCATTGACGCGGTATTTTCCAGATATTTAGAAGATATCAAGTCTCAAACTTATGTTTCTTATTTCAGTTACCATAAACCTATAGTTTCAATGATAAATATTCCTGAAGAATTGACATGTATTGAAAGATAATAAAAATATTTTGAACAATATTAACATCTCATTTATTTAATAAAAGAAAAAAAATTGTTTTTTTATCGGTCACCACGCTCAAAGTGTAACTTGAATTAATATCATGCAATAGATTTACCGCGGCAGTCTCCGAGTGCCACACGTCTTTTTTTTAATAACATTCTTCGCTTTCGGGTACGTCCCGAAACTTAAACGGTTTATGGAAGAAAAAAATCCAAAAAAAATATCTTTTTGAAGTTATACTTTTTTTGGCAAGTTTGGAAAAAAAATATGAGATATGAAAAATATGAGAGAAGAACAAACAAATAAACAAACTCTGTCTCTTCATAATATTAGTATAGAAGATACATAATAATAATTAAAGTCAACCTAATCTTACCTTGCTCTACCTTCTTCGTCCAATGTTTCTTCCTCATCAATTTCATCTTCATACGTACTTGGGTCATAGGGACGCGTCTCTACTGATAAGAAATTAGGTAGCTTGACGAAATGCAGCTCTTTGCCTAACTCCGTCCATATCTTTGGCATATCCACATCTATTCTTGTCTCTGGTATTTCCACTTCCTCTTCTTCCTCTGGTTTCTCTCTGGGCTCCTGTAAAGTTGAGTGCTCAACACTAAACCATCAGCCAATAATGTAATATGTAAACTCCCGTGGGACGACAATTCAACACAACCTGTTAAGATCAGGTACAGGACCAACAGCTTAACGTGTTCTCCAAAACAAGTTGGTGAAACACCACCAACTCGACTTCTCAGAGCTGTTACTGAGTTATATATTACGTTAAAAAAATCCATAACTATTTTGCACAACCCGGTATTCGAACTCAGAATCTGCAGATCTGCCTTACTTGCAAACCACTAGACAACTGGGGCAGTTCAGTAAAGCCTTCAACCAATAAAGACTCATGGACCACTAACCTCATCCCCACTCCCTCTACCCTCATCCCCCGAGCGCCTCTCATCATCAGAGCGGGCGCGGCTGCGGCTGCGCGAGCGCGACCTGGAGCGAGACCGGTCTGACCGCTTATCTCCTTCGTTATCTGTGCTTATGTCAGACGCATCACCGAATAACGCGTCTGCTGTCACTGGAATTGTAATAGAAATAATTGTTATTTTCTCCATTCTATGTGATATTGGTGATATAATTTGTGCTCAACTGGCACGCTTTGAAGACATTAACAAGAAAATTTCATTGAATTACTAGATTTGACTATACTGGACTAGACTTATATGTTATGAGAACCATTTGGTGTATACATATATACAATATGTATGTATTAAAAAAATACATATTTCTTCGGATTGTACCATACATGTAAAAATCAAATCTGTTGAAGGAGACAACCAAAAAATGAACAAACATACTTTGAAATTTATATGGTATAAATATCAAAGTATAAGCTACTAACTATATAATTTGTTCCTAACCAATAAATATCCTCAGTATGTGAGCATAGAAAATATATCTCGAACAAAAAATCCTTAAAAAATCTACTGGAATGTAATCAGAGATTTCTTTGCTTTAAACTTTAATATTCGTTTATTTAAAAAAACCTCCAAATTCTTTTCTGTATTGCTTATTTTATGGAGATATATGGAGTTATATATATGGAAATTAGATTTTATTTTTAATATTCTTGAATCATGTAAATACCAGTATCAGTCTTCTCTTGGTTTTCATCATCTGAGTCAACAAGTTTCTTAGATTTCTTTTTAGGCTTGACACTTGTATCTGAGCCACTGTCAGAACCTTTTTTACGCTTAGAAGCCCCTTTGGATTCTGCATCACTTTCTGAATCAGAGAGAACTGCTCGCTTTTTTTTATCTCCTGAAATTGGTTTTTAAAATATAACTAATCTACACATTATAATTGATCAAAAATCTTTTGTGACATATATTTATATACAATTATAACAAAAATTTGGAAACTGCTGTCTAATCAATATATAGCTTTATGTAGTAATCAAAAAATATTAACAACCCAGGTCATATTATAGGTTTATAAAAAAACCTCTTTTACCTTCAGCATCAGATGCATTTGAGCTTTTTGAATGTGATCGTGATCGACTTTTAGACTTGGATTTACTCTTTGATCTAGATTTAGACTGTCTTGAACCGGATCTGTAAAAAAATAGATAACGATGTCATTAACATATTAAATACAAATATAAAACATTACACAAACCAATTTTGTAAATATTATCCATTTTATTTCTTTTTTTTTTGTTACTTGGGTTTTGATACATTTGTTAGAAAATTAAATACACAAACAGACTAGATTACCAATAAAATACCTAGATCTACTTCTTGACTTTTCCTTTGCTTGATCATCATCAATCATCAGATTGGGTGAATTTGACCGACTGTCAACATCCTGTCTCGCCACTGGACTTTTGGATCTTGAAGAAGCACTCCCAGATCTTGACCTTGATTTCCTATTATTAGGGCTTCCACTACGTGATCGGGATTTACTTTTTGCCCTTTGGGATTTTGGGGAATGTGACTGAGAACGAGATTTAGGGCTTTGTGATCTCGACTTAGGACTCTGTGATCTAGATTTTGGGCTCTGAGATCTAGATTTTGGGCTTAGCGACCGGGATTTTGGGCTTTGGGCACCAGATTTGGGACTGCCTGACCGCGATCGGGGACTACCTGAACGAGACCTACCACTTCCAGAAGGGCTCCTAGAACGAGATCTAGATTTTGATGCCCTTGGGCTTCCAGAAGCTTGCGATTTAGGGCTTGAGGAACCTGATTTATTACTTTGAGCTGAACCAGATCTATTTGATGCAGCGGGAGAATTTGATTTACTTCGAGAAGCATTGGATGCATTAGAAGACTTTCTTGATCCGCCTGATCTATTTGATTTGGGAGACTCACTTCCTGATTTTGCCGGGCTTCTTGAGGGTGACCTGCACAAATATTATCAATAATTGCTATATAAACAAACTATATCTTAACTATATCTTAAAATAAGCATCTAAGAGATGGCATTTTGGATTTGATTCAAATGAATTCTAAGTAATGGATAATCTAAAGCCAAATCACTATTGGATAAATGAAGTCAATATATTTAACCACTATGTACATATGCAACTGTTTTCTATGTACAAATATAACTTAATAGTTAAACTTATATTATAATAAATGAAATTCTGTTTTATTCTAATTGACAAATCAAATGATTTGAGCTTATTTTTTGAATATGTAAAGCTCATATGTATAAAAACAATTTTAAGTTTAATAATATTAATTGAACAAGAGTATTTTTAACACAGACCTTGACTGGCTGCCCTCTTTGCCAGAAGGTGCTGGGCTAGGGCTTTTGCTGCGACTTGCACTAGAACCACTGTCAGAATCTGATCCTGAGTCTGTGTCTGTAAAATAAACTTAACTTTAAAAGAAACGTTACCTCTAAGTGTTTATTTATTAGTATTTAGCAAATATAACTTTTATAACAGCTAAGAACAATCTTAGGTAAATTTGTAATCAAATAAATATTTTAATAATGCAAACTGAATTCTTTTTGCCAAATGTGTTGATATAACGGGATAAACTCGTTTACTCTATGCTAAGCAAAACTAAAACTATGAATAATTCTTCTATGTAGTAATCAAAACATTAAACAATCTTCACTGTCAAATAATAAAATAAATAGGTAATACAGCTACTTACCACGAACACCTCTCCTTGTCTTAGGTGCCATTTTAATTAAAATACTGTTGCGAAATTATTTTACTAATACTTAAAACAAAATAAACGAAACTTGTGTATTTAATTCAATTTATTAGGTTATCTTTTCATTTTAGGATAGAATAGTGACTAACTTCACAACAGACTAAAGACGCCATTCTGAATTTTCCACATTGACATTAGTGACGTTAGTAAATCAAAGAGTATAGTTATAAACTGTTAGTAAATACAGGTACTGCACGAACTTCAGGCATAAATTAAGCTCAAGATAAATTTTTGAACTTTAGTGAGTATAAAATAATAAAAATTGAATTAAACATATAGATATTATGTTTTGTATTCTAGTAATTTACCATAGTTTTATTAACTGAATATTTCCATCATTAGTACATAATATGTACCTATAGCGTTTTATGGCTGTATTTATTAAAAACAGTGCAAATTAAATGACTTAAACCTAGATAATAAATACATACGTCCTAAATTCGATATTGTAAGCTTTTATACGGATTAATTTTATTGAATGACAATAAAACATAATTATTCTTATTAAATAGACAATATTATACTTATTAAAATATAACTATAAAGTTAAATATAGATGTCTGTTTTATATCCATAGTAATGCTTGAAACTGCAAATATTACTTCTACTACAAAAGTTATATTAATTGTCCTGACTGTTTACTTTCAAGTGGTTACATGCAACATTGCATTATAGTCTTTATTTCACAGCTTTAAAGTTCAAAGCCTTAACGCAGATTTCACTACTTAACTAAGCTACGAATGCTTGCATCTGTTCCTACTGAATGGACGTATTCAATGGTGAGCATTTTTTTTCTTGCGGCACGTTATTCGTCGTTAGTCGAACGATGGCTGCCACAGCGGATGTTTGTGCCGGTCTCGCCCAACACAAGGCAATATTATTACGAGAACTATGCGATACACATGTTTTGGACGTTCTTGTAAAAAAAGGTATATTTAGCGTACACGACCTAGAAGTGATAACCAGTGCAGTTGATAGTGATAAGTGTAATTATTTCATAGAAGTTGTTAGTAAACAAAGTGGTGTTAAGTTGCGTGATCTGTGTACCGTTCTTTACAATGAATGCCCGAAACTTGCTAAGGAACTTATGAATGATAGACAAAGATATGTAATCAATGGTAAGTTGTGTTAAACGAAATTTACAGAGCTTTTACACCATGCTGTATAAAACTGGCAAAAGTCATAAATTAAAACGTTTCGATGTCACAGAATGGGATTAAAGTTCAGATATACAAAAGAAACCGTATTTATAGAATAGGGGTAGTGTATTTGACCCTTCCAAGAAAGCTCGGAAGTTGTCGTGCTTTTGTTAACTTTGTTTTAGATGCTAGTAAATATTTTATACTATTATTTTAAGTAAAAAGATTTGTAGCGAAAAGTTTCAATAATTTTAATACGTGCAACTAAAATTTACTTTTCTAAGGGTCATAGTCTACTGGATAAAACCGAAAGTGTAAGGAAATGGAAAGGATTTTAAATTAAATAATGATGATATATGATCTGTCCTCCTCTTTCTAACTTTTGGTGGGTAGTTTCGTGACTCGTAATTTATATAGGAACATCTGTAAAATTGTTGCTAGAACATTCTTAAAAGTTTTTATACTTTAACATATAATATTGTAAGCTTATGTAAAAGAAATTTAACAATAACATATTTATATGTTAAACTATACTGCATGTTGATGTTTATTTCACTTTCCTGACAATGTTTTTTGGGAAGTAATTTCGTTTTTTATATTATATCAATATTTTGGAAAATATGTATACCTATTATGTGCAGATATTATAATATTAAATTATTTGTATAACTATAATAATAATAATAATAAAACCAACTACCAAAACAAGCTTCCATCCAGCAAACATGTTACTACTGCGTCGGAGTGGAGGATCGATTATTATACCTTAATCTATACCTGCAGATAAATAAAATTGAAGTGTCTGTTTGTAATGTAAAAATAACAGCTTTTTACTAAATACATATGAAATTATATACGGTACTTATAAGAAAAACGCAATTTTTCAAACTTTTGTTTATCTATCCGTCTGTTTGTTCCGGCTAATCTCCGAAACAGCTGGACTGATTTTGACGGGACTTTCATTGGCAGATAGCTGATGATATATGGAGTAAGGTTATTATTATTTTAGAAAAAGAATTCGGGTTTGTTCAAAAAAATTAAAACGTGCGAAGCAAGGGACGTACGCTAATCCCTGAATAATGTCAATATAGAGGTTAATATTAAATGTTACAAAATATTATGTAAATATACGCAACAGATCAACAAACACCAGTAGTTTAACAGTTTAAACAAATAAAACGTAATAAATTTACCCAAACGCGAGTTTGATTGAAAAATTGCATGTCGATTGTCCAAAAGGGGAGAGACGGATAAATAAAGTTATCACGGTCAATTCGACTTTATTCAAAAAGTTTTAGGTTTCAATTTAAATGAGCGTTGACAGAGAAAACGTATTTTATTATAATTTATAGTCTATGCGGGTGCGTTCGGAAATTGACCTCGCCTTAGAACTGTGTTCCTGTTAATTAATTTTAGTGCTGAAAGCGATTTTCTATCCAATATTTCTATTGTTTATTACATGCCTCAATTATTCACGTGAGTCACAAGCATACTAGATATTCACGAATTCATATTATTACAAAGTACAGGTAAACTTCATATCTAAACACTACTTCAACACCTACTTAGTTCATGAAGATACATAAGTCTATTACTAGGTAGGTATGTACTGTTACGTCATATTTACGAAATATATTTCAATAAAATATTCGGTACATCTAGTATCTAATTTTTTCGTTATTTTAAAGTTTTGTTACGTTTTTCTATATCATTTTTATTCTTTTAAATTCTACTAAAATACTATCTATACATATTTTAAAATTGTAACTAATACTAGTAATATAATAATTTTAAAACAATGTAACTACAGACTACGGATTCTCACGTACACAAAGAATTGTCTTTTGTCTCAACAGTCAACAAAAAAGTGCGTCGAACCCACGTCGACGATTACCTACATAGTGTTCTTAGAATTTAAAACGGTCGCCTTTCTTAGAAGATAAATAATTTGACATGACGTGTTCCTATTTAAATAAATAGAGTACTTAAAGCACTAACAACAATCACAAAAGAGCCTTACAAGATTCTCCCCGAGATTGTAGAGGACATATTATAAATGTTTGTCTATACTAATATTATAAAGAGGCAAAGTTGGTGAATTGTGAGTTTGTAACATTGTAGGGGGTAATCTTTGGATCTACTGAACCGATTTAGATGAAATTTGGTAAGAAAATAGTTTAAGACCCTGGGAAGGATATAGAATACTTTTTATCCCGGAAATCATCCCTTAAGGGGGTCAAAATGGTGATGAAAGTTTGTATGGGGAATCAACCTAGGGACGAACTCGAGCGAAGCGAGGGTGAGTCGCTAGTTTGTTATAAAATCGACATCTATTATTTTAGGATATTACATGTTTAGCCAGACTTGAATGCCATGTTGGTTTATTTAATAAGGTATATATGATAAGGATCTGTATTTGAGTCCCGGGTCTAGTCAAAGCAAAACTTAGTTTTCAATGGAAATCTTCAAAAAAACTTATAACTGCGAGTGAATATTATTATGGTTTATAATTTAACAATGAAAGATACTACTGTAAAATGGCTAGTAAAAACATGAAAAAAAACATTTTAAAAGATATTTTTTCCATCGCTATACATAATTATTTGTTGTGTTATTTAAATATTAATTGTACGAATTGAACCGTGGGCTGACATGATATATGAAGTTTGGATGTGAATCATATTCATCAAGGTCATGGTTAAATACACTTATTCAGAATAAGATACTCGATCTTGTCAGCTGTACTAACTTCAATTATAATGTCTTCCAAATGCTCACTGCGTAGGTCTCCAAGAATTATAAAATAAGATTTATCATTGTTTCTATTGCGAAATTCTTAGTTTTTACTCTATGACGTGTTTGACGGGATTTCTAATCGGCACCTTGTCACAATTTTAAACGATTCTACTTTTAAAAATGAAGAAATTAAGCTAAACCGTCATAAGTGGATGATTTTTTAAAAGTCCTACCTGATTGTACGTTGTAAATATGTACAACTAGCAGAACCCGCGGCTTCAAACAGCTGACAAACAAACAAACAAACAAACAAACACTGTTATGTTTAGTGAGATTAGCCGCTGTTGCCGAAATCGGTCTGGAGGACATTATTATAATCGTTCTTGATTGCGCTTCAACATCTAGACCGAATGCCGGATCAAATGTTTATACGTAGGTAGGTACACACCTCGAAGTAAAAATTTACTTTGTTTATATGTGAAAGTTAAACTCCGCGTCACGTATCAGATTTGGAGATACATAACTGTAAACATGAAATCTTATAAATCGATTTTAACTATTAATTATCGTATTGAATTGAGATTTTGTGTGATTGTGATGTATTGTTACTAGGATGACAATACAATTATTATTAATAGATGATAATAAATATTTCATAAGGCTAAGAGATATATAAAAAAATCTTAAATTGATACTAGTAAAATCTTCCAGTTTCAAAATTCAAGACACTGTTTAGCTTATATGCGAGTTATTTTAAGATTTAAAAAAAATATTTATTTAGTTATTAGTTATTATGGAATAACTTTTAAGTAAGTATACAAAAATTTTGGAACTGTAGAAATGTCAGTTAAATGAAATGTCTATGAAGAAAATATCACCTTCAGAAATAACTGGATTCACGCACGAATGAGCTTAGTTTGTGGGAAATTATTAGCTAGAGTAAAAGTCGTGCTTTGTAATTGATTGATTGAGATTTTTGAGAGGAATTATGCCTTTTTACGTGCGTAAAGTAGTTAGTGTTAGTACAAATAATGAAAAAATAAGAAATATTAATACTGTGCCTATATTTGTACAATTTAGACATGTTATAGAAGTAAACACAAAACTGGTTAGTATATATTTTTAAACTTCCAAAAAGAAGGAGGTTATCAATTCGTCGGAATCTTTTTTTTTATGTATGTTCACCGATTACTCGAAGACGCCTGAACCGATTTGGATTTTTTTTGTTTCACAGGGTATACTTTCCAGGTCCCATATAAATTTTATCGAAATCGGTCTAGCGGTTTTTAAAAAAATCAACAATAAACATATTTTTTGAATAAATTGTTTAATCGAATATGTTATTAAAAAAACTTTCTTCTTACGAATTACCTGCTTATTACGTTTACACTAAAATAGAAAAATAAAAACTTAAAAAAAATAAAATAAAACCGACTTCCAGGCACTAAAATGTAAAAAAATAACTAAACGGAGGTTTTCATTTAGAATAGATACCTAATCAGATACTTTCGAAGTCGGTGCCAAACATCCAGATCCGTTCAGCAGTTCTGGCGTGAAAGAGTAACAAGCATCCATACATTCACAAACTTTTACATTTATAATATTAATACGGATAGTATAGATGTAAAATCCTAATTAGGCTAGAAAAACTTACAAAGTCTAAAATTTTATTAGGTAAATTAATACAGAAATTATGAACACCTATCCCACGACTTTATAAAGGAGTTAGTAGGCATGAAATACATAAGTACACAATAAGCGTGTAACTTTACACACTCGTGTTTGCCGCGTGGACGAATAAGCAAATATTGTCTGTTATTATTAGAAATTACGTAATTGAATTGCATTGTGTCACTTAGTGAGTTCTGTAGGTATCAATGTAGAAGTTGAACCGTTGAAATTAAGTGACCCCCGACACAAAAAAAACTCTAAAAAGAAACAAAAAGAAATCTCTCTTGGCGTTTTAACTTTTAACCTCATTTTGATGATGAGCGTCGCTGCGTCACTTGTACCAATGTCGTGTAGAATGGAGAAAACTAAGAAATAATTAAAATTACGACAAATGAATATCCCAGTTGAAAAACACCAATAGAATCCCATCAAAAGCGACAAAAGCCACATAGAAACCGATAAATATTTATTATTGGTTTATGTGGCTTTTGATGGGATCCTATTGAAATTTTAAATAGGGATGTTAGTCATCAATTTCATGGCTCCCGTTTTGCCTCTGTACTTAGTTAAAA